TTCTGGACCCGAACCACAGTCCCCAACCCCTCAACCCTAAATCCCCAAATAAGCGCGCAAGACGCTTCTGCTAGATTGGGCAGGATGGTGGACGAGAGCTGTCGAAACAAAGCTCATAACTCCGAAAGCGTAAATCCTTGTTTGTCGTATCGCGTTTCAGGGATGAGGGCAGTAAGTATTACTAGTATAGCAAAGAAGGAAGTTGATAGCAAACTTAGGAAACACATCTTGGTTGAGCCTGCAACACGAGACTACAACTAGTACAATATACAATACTTACAGCCTACTATACATGATTATAGCTATTACAATATACTATACTGAGATATACTGAGTGATTATAGCTAATACAATATACTATACTGAGATATACTGAGTGACAGGCCTGTCGTGCGCTTTCAAGGCCCAGGTCAACAAAGCAATGCTCTTGTTCTCGTTGCCCCAGGCGCTACGACATGCGAAGCGCACTGAAGCGACAAGTCCAAGAACAAAACAGCGGATTCCCGTTGAAGGCAAGTCATCGCTTGCATCTTGGGACGTGCAATGTGCACAGTTGGCCTTTTCAGTCGTGGTTTGCATATTCCCACGATTCCTACTCACGCTAAACCTTAAACCGTGCCGAAAGAAGGACGTTCAGCGCTACACGGGCAACGTCCTCTTGGCTTTGAGGGCTCTCTGGAGCATCAGGCCGCTTCAGAGGTTACGATAGGACAATATTCAACAACAAATTTAAGGATGGCAACAAGAAATTTACAAATACAACACAGTAATATTGATACTATGACAACCCCAACTACGTGTACTACTCATAATAGCCATAATCACAATGTAAGATACCATAGTATGCTACAAGAGGGTATATATCAGTATCATATTGCAACATGCGATTCTTGTCAGGATCATCCACACCGACATCAAGCCCGACAATCTCCTGCTGTCCTTGGATAAAGAATCGGTGAAGCTGTCAGACTTTGGATGTGGCTCGGCACTGTACTTAAAGGATCAGGACTTAGTAACTAGGGTTATTTTTGGAGTAACTATACTGATAACTGCTTACAACCCCAATTAGGATACTTAGAACCTTACTTACTAAGTCACACGATCCTTCAAGTGCATGATGCTCATTCAGACTCATCCATCTCCTGCCAGTTTAACGATTGGGCACGGATCCCCCTAAACCCAAAACCCCAAAACCCCTAAACCCCTAAACCCCTAAACTCTAAACCCTTAAACCTAAACCCCTAAACCCTCCCTAGACCCTAAACTCAGCTGTTTGGAGCTCAGGTGCCATAGATACCCAGGAGTCGATGCAGGCGGCCCACATTCGGAGAGCTTATACAAGCAGCCAGGGGACTCAGAGATCCACGGGTGTTACTTAAACGATCCTGGGACTTAGTAACTATAGGGTTCCTTAACGGGCTCCTTAAAAAGGATCTATAAGAGGGGATGTAGGGTTGCTTAAAGGATCATGGGACACAGTAACTATAGGGTTCCTTAAAGGGCTCCTTAAAAAGGATCTATAAGAGGGGATGTAGGGTTACTTACAGGATCATGGGACTTAGTAACTATAGGGTTCCTTAAAGGGCTCCTTAAAAAGGATCTATAAGAGGGGATGTAGGGTTACTTAAAGGATCATGGGACTTAGTAACTATAGGGTTCCTTAAAGGGCTCCTTAAAAAGGATCTGAAAGAGGGGATGTAGGGTTACTTAAAGGATCATGGGACTTAGTAACTATAGGGTTCCTTAAAGGGCTCCTTAAAAAGGATCTATAAGAGGGGATGTAGGGTTACTTAAAGGGTCATGGGACTTAGTAACTATAGGGTTCCTTAAAGGGCTCCTTAAACAGGATCTATAAGAGGGGATGTAGGGTTACTTAAAGGATCATGGGGCTTAGTAACTATAGGGTTCCTTATGGGGTTCCTTAAAAAAGGATCTATAAGAGGGGATGTAGGGTTACTTAAAGGATCATGGGACTTAGTAACTAGAGGGTTCTTTAAAGGGCTCCTTAAAAAGGATCTATAAGAGGGGATGTAGGGTTACTTAAAGGATCATGGGACTTAGTAACTATAGGGTTCGACGGGATGTAGGGTTACTTAAAGGATCATGGGACTTAGTAACTATAGGGTTCCTTAGAGGGCTCCTTAAAAAGGATCCATAAGAGGGGATGTAGGGTTACTTAAAGGATCATGGGACTTAGTAACTATAGGGTTCCTTAAAGGGCTCCTTGAAAAGGATCTATAAGAGGGGATGTAGGGTTACTTAAAGGATCATGGGACTTAGTAACTATAGGGTTCCTTCAAGGGCTCCTTAAAGAGGATCCAGAAGAGGGGATGTAGGGTTACTTAAAGGATCATGGGGCTTAGTAACTATAGGGTTCCTTAAAGGGCTCCTTAAACAGGATCTATAAGAGGGGATGTAGGGTTACTTAAAGGATCATGGGACTTAGTAACTATAGGGTTCCTTAAAGGGCTCCTTAACAAGGATCTATAAGAGGGGATGTAGGGTTACTTAAAGGATCATGGGACTTGGTAACTACAGGGTTCCTTAAAGGGCTCCTTAAAAAGGATCTATAAGAGGGGATGTATGGTTACTTAAAGGATCATGGGACTTAGTAACTATAGGGTTCCTTAAAGGGCTCCTTAAAAAGGATCTATAAGAGGGGATGTAGGGTTACTTAAAGGATCATGGGACTTAGTAACTATAGGGTTCCTTAAAGGGCTCCTTAAAAAGGATCTGAAAGAGGGGATGTAGGGTTACTTAAAGGATCATGGGACTTAGTAACTATAGGGTTCCTTAAAGGGCTCCTTAAAAAGGATCTGAAAGAGGGGATGTAGGGTTCCTTAAAGGATCATGGGACGTAGTAGCCAGGGTTATAATTAGGGTAACTATACTTAAAGCTACTTATATCCCCAATTAAGGTACTTACAACCTTACTTACTAGGTCCCACAATCCTCCAAGTATACTACCATGATGTCACTACGGGAGTTTAGGGTCCTTGTAGTCGGGATCCCACTGTTTATGGTACCGCATTACGGTCCCCTAATTTCGGAAACTCCCTCTCTTTTCTTATCATGAAGCTCTTGTTGGGCCAAGGCTACCGACCACCGGAGATCATTCTAGGCCAGTCGTAGCTGGTCTGCACTGCCCTAGACGCTCCACTCCTATGGTGGAACATAGTATAACATAGTATAATGCAGTATACTATAGCATAATACGGTACAGTATAGTACATAGTATAATCGCGTGCAAAGCTGGCTGTTTTTTTTTCGTACGGCAGCAGAGGTTCAGTACCAGGGCGGACATGTGGAGTGCGGGAGCGACTCTTTTTGAGCTTGCTTCGGGACATGTTCTCTTCCCTGTCACGTCCTCAAGAGACCATGCTACAACATGGCGGCATGTGCGAGCTGCTAGCTGGTAGAATTCCGCGTCTTTACATGGCATGCTCGATCTGGGACAAGGAATGTGCGAACAACGCGATGCTACTCGTGACTTAGATGGACTTCAGCCGAAGTCAGCACTGCAGCTGCAGGTTTAACCGGGATATCTCCCTGGACAAAGGAAATTCTCCGAACCTGCGGCTCTTTCAAGAAGCAGTTCGCAGTGACCGGAAAGCACGCGCTCAAGCACTTCACCACTCAGGTGGTCCGGGTACGCGGGTTCGTGAGGTTAAGGTCATCTGGCAACATGCCTGATGTGTAGAAGACTAGATTGGAGTGAACCTTTGTTGATGACGGGAATGCATACTCAACTCAATATGACTGTTGCATGGAGCAAGACCATGGGTTCGCAGTCCTACAAGCAGTCAAAGCCCACTTCGCACGCCCTGGCTTGACTCTGACACCTCGGTGTCGATGTTAAAAGGCAGTGGTGAGTGCTTTTGGCCATGATCGTTACTCCTCCACCTCGCCCGTACAAGTGAGTTCACTAGACCAAGCCATCGCTTGCAGGGTGCATTCCGCCGCCGTACAAAGTCGGGCTCGGAGTGACCTGGCTGCTATTCCGTGCAAAGGTGGACTGCGTTCGCTCGATCCTTTTTCGAGGCAGCAGTTGTCGATGTCTCACTTCGCAGCGCCAAGCAAGCCTGTTCCAGCACGCTTGCGGAACGTGGTGCAGGACTGACGGTGCACGAGTGTTTGTGAGGCCTGGCGCCTGGCGCAGCAGATCTACCGCCAGTGAGTAAAACATCACTGTGAAGGACGTTCTGCTGGAGCCTTTCGCAGACCTTCTTGCGAAGGCGTGTTTGGTGCCAGATCCTGCCAAGCGATCATCGGCAGAAGCAGCTCTGAGACATCCGTTCCTGTCGAAGAGGCGCCAATCGTAGACTGTTCAGGTGAGCGTTGCATGTCTGGCATGCCTACATGTCTTTGGATCCGATTCATGCGGCTAAGCTGTTCTGCTAGCCTTGGCCCGCATGACGTCGCTCTCGAACGCGGTATGCCTCCCTGTTGTGCCGTGCAGTGAGATATATAGTGAGATATAAGGCATGTGGCTTGTGCAACCAACCTCATCAGACATCAGCGCGCTGCGTATCTTCACACCTCCGCAGGCCATCCGGATAATGTTTCGCCCACGTCGCAACTTGGGCAAGATGTGGCCCTCATGTTGCGACGCTTCTGCGAATGCCCTTTGCCAAGGCAGTCGGCGAAACTGAGTGAGCGGCTTTCTGTTCCGGAGATACGCCTTCAAGCGGCCTTTCGTGCATACACGTCAAAAACATTCAGAGACCTCAGGATAGCCATGGCAGGGACATGGTTGCAACCGCAAGGATCTTAAGAGGCTGGTCCGAAAGTTGTCATGCCAGCGAATTCCAGCTGGCAGAGGGTTAATGATTCCTCTGTGCTGCGTGTACAGAGCAGATCGTCTCAAACGGTCCATCAAAAAGCTTCGAAATCTCCGCATTCCCCTTTGTGGCATGCACAGTGCGGTCGCTTGCACGAGGAGAAAGCCTGCCGCAATGTTATCGCTTGGTCCGGCAGCGGTTCTACCGAAACTGCCCGAGGCGAGCGTTGCCGGCTTCTCCAGCGTTCGAAGCTGTCGTCTCGGCCGGTGAAGCCACGGGGTCGAGGTGGGTCTTGTTGGTCGCGAAGCTTTCACCTCATAGGTTGTTTCCGGCCTCGCAGGTGGTGTGGCCGTACAACAGCTGGCGGAGCTTGCAGAGGGTTGCTGGGGCTCTGCCACGCGAAACAGCAGAACGCTCAGACTCTCCGCCAGCCTAAACCCTAAACTCCTAAACCCCTGATCTCTTTCGAAGGCTCGGCAGAAGATGAGGGCAGCCTTGCAAAGCAGGAAGCCGTGGCCTGGCTCGGCTATCGGTGTGGCATCGTGTGGCTCAGTCATAGAGATCACAATGCAATACATGAAAGTATATATACATATATATATATATATATATATGTGCGTGTATATATATATATATATATAGATGTAGGTGCATATCTACAGATAGAGAGAAGTTTTTTCGTATATCGTAATGCAATATTCTTAAATAGCTACATATCCTCGCTGTGTCCGAGGTCCTCCAGGTTGCCGAGTCCTGGCCGTCAGTCGGCGAGGAGATACGCTGTCACAGGGTTTCATGTTCTATAGTACATCATAGTACATTATAGTATATCATAGTATATCATAGTATATTACAGTATACTATAGTAGATTGCAAAATATTAGAGTATACTATCGTATAGGATAATATACAATAGTATAGTATACTATAATATACTACACTATTTGGGGTTTCATGATTCTGTGCGCGTCGACGCTCCACCGGCCAAAGCTCGGCGGAGCATTTTCAGGGCATGGGTTCTGCGGAGCTTTAATTAGGGTTAGGGTTGAGGGGTTATTGTGCCATCGCGCTTTTTGCTCGCACCTTCAGTTTCGCGCCTTTGCATGCGAGGTGTACGCAGTACGCAGTGTACACTGTTCATGGCATACTATAGAGGCTTAAATAGCTATCTCTTCTATTTTCGGTGTTCCTTATTATCCCTACAGTATAGTAGGGCCCCAAAATCTCGTTCTAATTATTAAGGCCCCTATACTATACTGAATGCACGTGACCCAGAAAAACCAGGGAGCGGTGAAGCATGGTTCCATGCTCAGCTGAGCTGAGGTGTTCCCAGCGGCAGGCCCTTGCACGAGCGGTGGGCGCATTTCATGGAATGTAGCATACTTAAAGGATCGTGGGACTTAGTAACTAGGGTTATAACTAGGGTAACTATACTTATAACCCCAATTAAGGTACTTATAACCTTACTTACTAAGTCCCATGATCCTCCAAGTAATAATGTACGAACCTGATTAAGAAACCCTGGGCATATAACCCCAAAATAGTAGGGTTCATGTAAGGAACCCTGATAAAGGCAAAAGGTTTCTTAATCAGGTTCCTACATTACCAATTGTAGAATGCATATAACTGAGGCCCCAATCTTATTGCGGGCTTCGTGTCCAGCTGGCTTCTTGCACTTTTTCGTGCTGTTGTGATGGATCAAGCCTTAGGTTCCTGAGTAGTACCCTTTTGCCCTTTTTAGTTTTATGGTCCCCTCATAAAAACCGAACACTAAGAAAAGGGGTACCTTTATTGGTGACTCAGGATCTTAGAGCCCGTCGGCCCTGCAGGAGAAGGAGGAACTCCCGAGCTTCCAACATCGTCCAGGCGCGGTCGAAACCCTAAACTCCCCCCAAAACCTCAAACCCTAAAGGCTAAACCCGAGAAAGAGCCATTGCACTCAAAAAAAAGGCTAAACCGTAAACGGAAACCCTAAACTTTAAAAGCCCTAAACGGAGCCGACTCGGGCAGACGCACAAAGAAGGCCGTCAACCTAACTTAAAAAAAAAACAAAAAGCCCTAAACCCTAAACCTTAAACCGAAACCCTAAACCCCGAACCCCCTGTCTCACCAGGGGTCAACGGCTTGCTCCTGGGCTTCGAGTCAAAGGCATGGCCTCGATCCGCAGAACCGGTGATTTTGCAAATTATTTGCAGTCTTATGTATTCTAGTGCTGAAATTCTACTTTTACGAAGGTAGTGAGAATTTTTTTATATTCTACTATACTATACTGGTGATCTAGCATGTATTATATGAGTTTTGTCGTGCTTCTGCAATCTGAGCTCTGGCGGGCCCCGAAGTGCCAGGATGCATTCTACGGCCAAAGGTCCGGTGCGGAGGCATCGGGTGCTACTTTGGATGCTGCCCCCAGTCAGTAGCAGCTGGATTTATAAGGCCTTAGCAGTACCCTTGCCTTAGACTGTTACTGTATGGGGGCAGCACCCAAGCGCTACCGGTCTAGGGCCTAGGGATTCTGTTCTGGAGTGCCTTGTGCTCCTTATCCACTGGTGTTGCCGGCCTTTGCAGGTGGAGCAGGAGCTTGCTCGGCTCGCGATGCTTCTCCAAAACCTTCTGCGAGAGTTTGCCATCCTCAAGGCGAGGTCGCTGCTGAGGATCAATCTCAGCTCGTTTTCCTACCCTAAAGCCTAGTGATTACGTAGGCTTTAGGGTACGAAAACCAGCTGAGATGGGACTAGGTTCTTTCCACATCATCAAGTGTCCATTCGAAGCCTTGAGGCAGTCACAGGTGCCATGGCAGGTCAGCTTCAGTTTTTGGCCATCAATCGATTCGTTCAGCAACCAGCGACTGACGGCTTTGAATGGCTCGATTTCCATAGGATCTCAGAATTTTAGGCTAGTCTTCTGGCAGGACTCTGTGGGACATCTGGAAGATGAGACCGGCAGTGTCCAGGCATGTAACACGAAATGGCATGAGCTGTCCGACATGGCTTTCGAGCCAGGAAGTGGGAAACAGGCTCGAAAGAAACTGCCTCAATCAGCTGGAGGAAGTCAACCAGGCGAGGTTTCACGAAGCTTTAGGCCGTTTAGGCTGGCGTGTCGGTTTCTGTGAATCTCTTCTGCCAACGCTCCCGTGCACAGGGCATTTCGTTAAAGATGAATTCCATGGCTTCCAAGGCTCCAACCTTACGCCGACTGCAGACGTATCAGGGTTTTCGAGTGGCACATTTCGTAAAGCTTTGCAGAGCAGGCCTACGCAGGGCTCTGCTGTAAGAGGGGGAATGCATCGTGATCGAGGGATAGGCGCAGAGTATGGTCACCCTGGCCCTGATAAATCCGAAATCCCAAACCCTAAAACCATACGGTTTCAGGTTGATGAGGCGACTGCAGCGGTGGCTGCGATCTTAGCCAGACAGGGAAGGAGCTGACTATAAGCCAACCTGTGATGCAGTCATCGAGTCACCCACGTGGATCCGCTGCATCTTGCCTCAGTTCAAGAGAGGCTAAGACGGACAAGTTCATCAACTCCAAGTTTCAGGTCTGCTTCCAAGTGCAAGTGCAGAGTGTTTTTTGTTTTTTGTGTGTGAGTTTTCTCGGACTCGTTCCTCTTTCTTTTGGGCTCATTGAGGCTTTGCTGCAGCGCACGGATGCGAGATGTGAATCCGTGGAGTCGATGTGGGAGGTGCGAAGACTTCCGAGGTGTTCTTGAAGGAAGGGGTTTTGTAAGGAATCATATATCTATCGATGAGGGTCCCTAAGTACGAGTGTAGTAATTGCAATAAAAAACAATAATCATAATAACAATACTAATGGTTTCTGAATATAAATTTCCTTAACATGCCGTTTACGTGAGAAAGCTTCTGCCCAGGGTCTGTGGCCTTCCAAGCAGGACTTCCGGAACGGCGTTCACGAGCGATTCGAGTCGAACGAGCTCAGTAGAGAGGCTGGCTGGACCTGCCGCCGTCGGGGTGCAATGCCGCAGAATGCAGGAGCCTGCAACCTCTGAATACACTGCAAGCAGGATTGGTCACGACGGCTGCAGCAGCAACTTCAGTCGACGCATCAATTCGCAGAGGATCAGCTTTGCAGGTCGAGCGCAGCGATTGCTTGGCAAGACCTCAATGTTTCAGGATCTTTCCGGCCGTCTGGATGCTCGCCATGCACAGTCCAAAACGTGGGTGGAGGCCGGCGCACAAGGGGCGCTTGCAATCGCTTGCGCAGATTTGATTGGTATAGTGCGTAATGGTAGTAGATAGTAGCTGGAGTGTTGTTGTGCCAGTATTGAAACCTGGCCGACCGCCTGCCTCCACGATATCAGGAGTTGCGAAGTGAAACTTTCAACCACAAGTACCAGCTGTCGTGGCTGAACCAGGAGCTCTGCTCGAGGTGATTGCCGTCGCAGGGATCCGTAGGTGCTGTTTGGATATGGGGGTTTTCGAAAATCAGGGGTACCGTATTTTGGGGACCTTATCAGTAAGGATCCTACTATTTAGGGTACTATGTTAGGGTCCCCTATTTTCGGAAACTCCCATATGTCTCGCTATCACAGGCCTCAACTAGGAATGGAGACCCTTTCTCTTTGGTGACAATTGAAGCTAATTACTTTGGAGGGCCATGGGACTTAGTTAGTACCTGAATTGGGGTTAAGTAGTTATCAGTGCAGTTACCCTAATCATAACCCCAGCTACTAAGTCCCAGGATCCTTTACTTACCTTGGCTTAGTAGGAATTGGAAGAATGGCAGTAATAGTAGTCATAATTGTACCCCATGCCTCCATTCCTTACTAACCAAATGGTAAGTTTAAGTACAGGAGATGGACTGCCAGAAGCAGCTGATGGTGGCCAGGGTGGCTGAGGTAGAGAAGGCAGGCAGCAATGGGGCTTTTCGGGGACTTTCTTCTAGACCCACATCATGCCCCGAGGCCGCTGCCGACAGCGCCGCAAAGCAGGCGGATTCAGTTCGGAGCGGCTTTTGCAGTAGAAGGTCGACTGAAGAACGAACTCGCGCATTTGAGACTGAACTAAGCCCGAAACCCTCAACCCAACCCAACCTGCGTATCAAAGGTGGCGGCTGCAATCGAGCGTGAGGAGCGCTGCAACATGCTGCAACCATCATATCTTTCTGTTGCTACAGTCTACAGTAGAGTCTACAGTTTACTGTCCATAGTACTGCATGCTGTGTGTATATATATATATATATATATATAATAGACGCATACAAATGATGCTGTACTGTACTTTGTTAAACCATACTACGTTGTATTCTATTCCATTCTTTTCTGTTACAACATACTATTTTCTACTCTGTTATTGTTTACCTGCAAAAGCAAAGCTGGTTTCTTGCGGACGTGGCTGTCGGTCTGCTACTAAAGGGCATCCCCCTTGGGACATGCGCTTGTGATTCGTAGGTTTAACTGACCCAGGATCAACTCCACACTCGACAAGCCTCAGCAGAGGAGGCTCCCTACTTGAAGGATCACGGGACTGGTTATTATTAGGCTAAGTAATACTAATAAACCCTTAGTTGGCACTTATAACCTTACTTACTAAGTCCCATGATCTTCCAAGTACACCGAGTGGTTGAGATGTGCAGGGACCTGCTATGTCTATGTGCTTGTCGGCGTGTCCGTGAAAAGGCTGCGCAGCAGATGTTCAAGGACTTGAAGGCGCAAATGCAGGAACAGCGGGACTCCGAGACCGAGGACAGCTCCGCAATGTGGCCCTCGCTTCGATGTTTATTAGCCAGCGCACGACCGCTGCCGAACAGGAAAGGCTCAAGCTGTCCCAGTCTCTTGTGGAGTTGGAGAAGCGAGTCGGAGCCTCAACACAGTCGCAGAGACTGTGAGTCGGAAGCATATCGCCAGCAATCCTGGCAGCTCTTCCCCGGCGCTTCCGCTCTCGGACACCTCGAAGCCGATCCCCTCCACTCTACTGTAGTAAGCGATAACCTACTTTTGTATAATGTTTGCATATTATAGTACATCTCAGTAATATGATAATCCAACATCCGGCCCAAACTTCGTGAAACGGAGGATCACAGAACCACGTGAGTCGCCGTGGATTTTGGGCACAGAAATTTCGAGAACGGTCCCCTGCGGCCGTCTAACCGAGTCTATGGGTTCTGTGAAGCTTTCGGGTTTGGGTCTTGTTGATGGTTTCATGTCAATGCGTCAGCTAGAAGTCCCATGCCCTGAACCTATTCATACCCAGACTCGCTGGACTAGAATCGAAGCCCGATGCCCTCATGTGTTTTGAATCGCTTGTTAGCAGCGGGTCTTCACCCTGTGCCTCATGATCAATGAGAGCTCCGGCAACCACGGAACCTAAACTTTCAAGGCCCAAAGGCCGAAACACTAAAGTAAAAGCCAGAAAGTTGGAATATGATCATCCTAAACCCTTTATGGTAAATTATAAGGTATCCTACCCTGAAACCATATTCCAACTTTCTGGAGTTCCCTTTAAGGGTTCAAAAACGTCCCATATCCCCTGCATACACCCAACGCATCCAATGCTTTGCTTGTCGAGATTTCTGCGGGATTTCCTCCGGCACCAGCTGTACTCAGAAGCTCAAGGGTCGCTGTCCAATATAAAGGCTTCAACACTCTAAGCGTTGTCGAACCTTTCATCCCTCCAAATATCACTTAGCCCTAAGCCAGATCAAAAGCCTAAACCTCAAGTAGGTTATAATTGGGGTTATAAGTCCCCTAAGTGGGGTTATCCTAATTATAACCTACTTACTCATCCCAACATCCTCGATCTTCCAGTTCTTGGATACGACTCTTAGTGACTTTTTTAGAGTCCGAAGGTTAGAGAGGTTGAAGGGGAGAAGGCGACGGATTTGTACCCTAAAAAACCCCTAAACCCTAAACCCCTAAACTTAAACCTTCTGAGAGAGAAGGAAAGGGGGTGGCACGATTCAGATCGAGGTCGCCAGTCAGATCGACGAGCAGGTGAATTGCGAGGACAGTTGGGGGTTTCCGCAATTAGGGGACCCTAATATAGTTTCCTAAATAGTAGGATCCTTATTATAAGGACCCCCCAAATAAGGTACCCCTATATTCGCAAACTCCCAGTTGTGATGCAATCTCATGCATTCCGGAGACCGATGCCCCTTCGACGAGAGAACGAGAGAAATCACCACATTTCGTTCTCCCATACCCCTATGTGTAAGCCTGGAGCTCGACACGCGAGAACATCAGTTTATGAGAGTAATAAGGGACTAATTAAATAATTACCTATCCTTATTATACTTTTAGTATAATGGGCCCAAAAACCTTATTCTAACTATTAAGGCCCCTATATCACAGTACCCTTATAGACCCCTTATAGTAACCCCTTTAAAGGGATCCTATGAAACCCTATTCTAATTATTAAGGCCCCCCCCATAGTGCCGAGTTTTGTTGCAGGAGCGCCTTCGAAGTCGACATGACTCGGCAGTCGAGGCTCCCTTCACACATTGCTCCGACCATCTATTTAGGGTTTAGGGTTTAGGGTTTTTAATTGCCTCAATATATTGGGGGCTTATTATAAATATATTGGGGGCTGATTATAAATATATTGGGGGCTTATCATAAATATATTGGGGGCTTATCATAAATATATTGGGGGCTGATTATAAATATATTGGGGGCTTATTATAAATATATTGGGGGCTTATTATAAATTATAAGTATGGTATATTGGGCCCCCAAGACCCTACTCTAATTCAGTATCCGGGGTCTATTTTTAGGGGCCTGAGTATTTGGACCGGGGGTATTGGCATTCAAGGATTTTCAGGAAATTGGTAGAAGATACTACTTCGTCCGTCAAAGGCTGCGCAGCAGATGTTCAAGGAGTTGAAGGCGCAAATGCAGGAACAGCGGGACTCCGAGACCGAGGACATCTCCGCAATGTCGCCCTCGCTTCGATGTCAGCCAGCGCATGACCGCTGCCGGACAGGAAAAGCTCAAGCTGTCCCAGTCTCTTGTGGAGTTGGAGAAGCGAGTCGGAGCCTCAACTACTTTGAATCCGACATGTTGCGCAATCTTTCCTATGGTTTTTACAATGGATTCGACACTTTGGTGCGCAAATGTCGTCCATTTCCGCTAACTTGGCAAGTGGACTTTCCTATGGTTTTTACAATGGATTCGACACTTTTCTTCGCACTTGTCTTCCATGTCCGCCAACTCGGCAAGTGCACTTTCCTATGGTTTTTACAATGGATTCGACACACGTCTTTGCGCAAGTGACTTGGCAAATCTTTGCGCAAGTGACGCGAATTTCTTTGCGTAAGCGACGGTGCTGCCACAGGCCGCCACGACGGGGGTTCGCGCTGGGGCCTGCTCAGGTAGCGGGGCACGAAGAGACGCACACGAAGGTGCAGGCTCTGCTGGAGGACTCGCTTGATGCCTATACCGTACTATAATATGCTAAACTACTCTAATGATAACACCAATTAAGGTACTTATAACATCTTATAACCTTACGAAGTTAATATAATATACTGACTATACTATTCTACGTCGCTCAGCATATCCTGGTGGAGGACAGCGATACTCAGATTCGCGCCGCCGAAGAGCGAACCCTCGAGCACTGCAACCAGGTCGGGAGCTGGAAAAACGCAGCAAAACGCAGTGCTCCTTAAAGGGATCTTTAGGGTTCCTTAAAGGGATCTATAGGGTTCCTTAAAGGGCCCTAAAAAGGGATCTATAGGGGTTCCTGAAAGGGATCTTTAGGGTTCCTTTCAGGGATCTACAAGGTTCAGGCTTTAGGGTCTACTTGGAGGATCATGGGACTTAGTATGTAAGGTTAGAAGTACCTTAATTGGTGTTATATGTATAGTCACCCTAGTTATAACCCTAGTTACTAAGTCCCATGATCCTCTAAGTAGCAAGCGAAGCTGACGCAGGTTCTTGACGACTTGCATTATGAACTCACAGCCTCCATGGAGGACCCTCTCTTTGGCTTGCTCCTGCTTCTCTGGTTAGGTACCTCTGGCTAAGTATTTCTGGCACACCCTTTCTTTTGTTCGAGGTTTAGGTGCAAACACGCTTTTCATGAAGTTCGCCTTTGGGAACCGTGGCCAGCCACCGTCCCTCCGCGCCCAACTCCGGATTCCGGTCATGCGGAGCACCTGTTCTCGATCTTGATTCAAGTCGTCGTAGCAACACAGCTATTTTGCTAGTCATGCTGCTCTTTTCGCAGTCACAGAGCTGCTCAATCACAGCTACTTACACTTTGATGTTTTTGATTGTCGAGAAGCTCATGAACATGCTGTTGAAATGCACATCTCTCTAATAGCTACTATATATATCTATATATCATGCATACACACATAAAAGTATATACAATATACTTATCTAGAAACTTCCGAGAGGACCAGAAGGGACTGAAAGAAGAACACAGAAATCTGGCTCCAAGAGCATATTGTAGTATGTTGCAGCACAATGCAGTACATGCATCGTAGCACGTTAATATTATAGTAGTATATATATATATATATATATATAGTTCGTTACTCTGGCACATTGTCGTACGCTGCAGTGGGCTATAGTAGTTTGTAGTATCGCTTATGGTATTATCTTTGGTTGTAAGGAAGCGTGTGGGTTTTTCAGTGGCCACTAGTTACTACTTTGCAACACCCAGTCGCTATTATTGTTGTCACTTGCAAGGAGTGTGGGGTTATGCCAAAGAGTCACGCCGCAAGTCAATAACGGGTGGTGCACGATGTCCTGGATTTTTCCACAGCCACTGGAAGGATCTTCCTTGCCAAGATAGCATCAGAACAGCAGATATGTATGTATGTATATATATATATATACACATATTATACGCATGTGCATATGTAGCTGTACGTAATATTCTGCATGTATACGCCTTTTTATATATATATATATGTATACGCTCCTGTATGGATATGCAGACATACAAAACATATATCTATATATACATATGTACGTCACGAGGCGATACTGATCTGCAGTGTGCTATCGGATGAGAATGCTGTGGAGAGCTCTTGGCTGCTCGTGGCGACTTCTCGTAGCAGGCAAACACCATAGGTTCAGCAATGGCAAGCAGGACGAAGGCAAGCGGCTTCAACAAGAATGCCTGCAAGAACTGGACAAAATCAACGAGGTGGGAGAAGCTGAGTTGCAAGTCGGCATGTGGCGACGTTGTCGTTCTGTGAGTGCCTTGTGATCCTACAGAGTTACCATGACTTGCAGGACATTGAGCTGAAGATGACTTCCATGGCTTCCAAGGCTCCACCTTCGAGATCTTGAGGGAAAACTTGCGTTTTCCTGAGATGCTGCAGGTTGATGAGGCCACAGCGACGTTGGCAATGACCTCAGCCAAGCAGGAAACCAGCTATCTGTGTGACACCATGAGCTTCTGTGGATGAAAGTGGCTCCACCAATTTTGCAGCAAGGCCGACACAAAAGCCTTCATCGTCTCAGAGCTAGAGGCCCTGGGACGAACTTCGGATACACACGTGTATCATACACTCACGCATATATATATATATATATACATCTACTCATATCATGTACTTCTATAGGTACCATATGTATATTTGCATATACAAACATGCAACTTGTTTGATCCTGTTGCTGTCCCGCTTTCGCTTGGTTCTCTGTAATCCGTCGTGCAGGTCCTGCAGCGGCACACGGACGGAAGATGTGAATCTGTCGAGTCGATGTGGGAGGTGAGACTTCTTGCCTTCGTTGGGCCATCCTCGCGGTAGCAGTTTCTATAAGAAATCGGGAAATACCGCGGTGCTGGGACGTACTGTAGCGGAGTGATCTAAGTCATAGTGCGATTGACATGCATGATCGCAGGACTTTCGCAGAGGCATTCTGGAGCGCCTCGATTCCAACAAGCTCACCACAGAGGCCGTGGAACCGGCTCTCACTGCGGCGGCTAATCCGTGATCTGTCACAGCGGCTGCAGATCTCGGAGGATGCAGTGAAGCCTTGTCAATTAGGGGTTTCCCCTATTATTCAGGGTATCATATTTATTAGGCTTCCCTACTTTCCGAAACTCCCGAGTATGACGGAGGAAGTCTTTGCGTTTTGAAAGCCTCAGGAGCTTTCGGAGCGGTTGGATGCTCATCATGCTCAGTCGAAGAAGTGGGTGGAGGCCGGCTTGCTACTATAGGGGCCTTGATAATTCACTATACTCTTTGGGGGGGGTTCCTTATAATAACTATAGTATAATGGGCCCCCAAACTCTGTTCTAATTATTGAGGCCCTTACATTAGCCTGTGTCTCCTGTGGGCATATTGCTGCTGCAGCGTGGTGTAACAGTTCCGACTCCATGTCCAAGTCATATTCCTGCTGAGCCCAATGTTGCAGGAGTTGCGAAGTGAAGCTTCCAAGGAAAAGCAGAAGTTGTCGTGGCTGATCCAGGAGATGAGATTAATCATAATCGTTTTCGAAGGAACAGTACAGAATCATTCTTCAGTACATGTGCGTTGCCAGCAGAGGCTTCTGTGGCTTTCATTCATTCTTTAAAGGTCTAGGGTTTAGGGTTGGGTACCGCAGGATAATTTGGACTTTCTATTGGACTCTGCCTGTGCTGACCTGCTGTTGAGATGTCATGTGAGACTAAGTCCCTAGGCCCAAAACAAATACAACAAGCCCTGTGCGGCATCTGGGGCCAGCGTGGTTTTGCATAAACCTGAACCCTAAACCCTAGAACACTAGAGCCGTAAACCGTCTATACCCGGGATCTACTCTTCCTTCAAGTACTTAAAAGATCATGGGACATAGTAACTAGGGTTATAATTAGGGTAACTATACTTATAACCCCAATTAAGGTACTTATAGCCTTACTTACTAAGTCTCATGATCCTCCAAGTAATCTTCCTTACGCTTTCCGCCTGTTGAAGGAGATGGGCCGCCAGAAGCTCGAGACGAGATCGCCCGGAGTTGCGGAAGCCGCGCGTGGAGAGGTCTGGGACCGAAACCTCCCAAAGAGACGGGGACGTGGTCCTATAGGGTTCCTTAAAGGGCTCCTTTCAAGGGATCTATAAGGGTTATATAAGAGGGTCTTAGGTTTACTTAGAGGATCATGGAACTTAGTAACTAGGGTTATAACACCAATTAAGGTACTTATAGCCTTATACTTTCTAAGTCCCATGATCCTCCAAGTAGTGTTTACAGTGGAAGCTCAACAGTCAATAGCCTCAATCCTGAAGATTAACGTATAGGGACATCCAGCGCTAGTTGTCCTTAATCCGGTTTCCAACTTTTTGGGGTCCACTATAGGATTTAGGCCTTAGGGGGGCTCACTACTATTATTGCCAAATTTTAGTACTGCTCTTATGGTTACTATTAACACTGCGATTACGGTAATACTATTCTTACTATTACCATTACGGTAATTACCGTTACGATGACTAGCATACTAATAGCGATTATTGTGATTATTCCTTCTCGGACCAGGAAAATGATCAAGGTTGTTACCATGATGGGTTTCTTCTTCATGCCTTTTGGATCCCACTTGGAGGATCATGGGACTTAGTAAGTAAGGTTATAAGTACCTTAATTGGGGCTATAAGTATAGTTACCCTAATTATAACCCTAGTTACTAAGTCCCATGATCCTTTAAGTAGTCTGGGCTCAGAGGGTTTCGGAGCTGGAGTCAGTCCTTGCGAATCAGAGAGAATTAACAATCGATATAACAATCATAGAAATTGTAATCGTGGTAATAATCTTAATAGCACTAGTAGTAAGACAAATACGAATCATGAAGACAGTAACAAAAATCATACTAGCAGCAAATAGAATACAAACCTAAACCGACAATACATGACTCCAGTGCCGTGTGCTAGTGGTTCCGCAGCGATGCGAGCTCATGGCAGCAACGGGCCCTTAGTGATTATAATAGTTTGGGGTTTATTATAATTCCAATAAGGAACCCCCAAGTACTATTGGCATTTACGTGATGCACGGAGGTGAGACCGCAAGTTTCGCGTGCCGTAGAGCCGCCGGCCGCAGCGGCGTCACAGGAGGCTGATGATTTGCGACAATTTCCAGCAGGGCTGCTGTATGTTGGATCAGAAAGCCGGGCATGTCGACAAGAACAGCAGTAGCATGGGTGCGCGTGAACTCGCTGAACTGCTGATGCTGACCAAAAGTAGTCGGTCAGCACGCGAGCGCAGGCAGCTGTGGCTTCCAAGCCTCCGTCGGGCCCATAGCATGCGGGTTCTGGGTGTGTTGAAGTTGTTGATTTGCATCGTGTTATACTATACTGGCTGTGGGCCGCCATGAGGCTTGAGCCCTTGGAGAGGAAGGCTGACCTGGCTCCCGAGGAGGCCCATGGCACTCACAAGTATTGCTTTGACTCGTTCCGGCCCAGGGCCTTGTGACCTTGTGGTTGTTCTGTGTGCTTCGGCTTGCCACCTCACCGATCAGGCCGTGATTCCCACGCCCTCGCCTTCGAGCGCAGCGCCAGCCGAAGCATCCAGGCGTCTTTTTTATGTTGCAGGAACTCAAGCGACAGGACTTGCGTGGGTCGCCGTGTTTCCTCGGAAGAGAAGGCCCTGCTCCTTCGACAACCCCTCACAGCCAGGCCCCAGACCGTGTCGGCGGAGCACACCGACGGATCTGCCGAGGAGGCTCCACCCGGTGTCCATAGTGCGGGCATGCTCGACTAACAAAGAAGATAAAGAAGCCCTTGAACCCCTTGGCGTTCCAAATGGCATAGAGAAGACATCTCGGTTAGTGCCTCTTCGCTTAACTGTGGGCTGGACTCGCAGTCCGGATCTCTTGCTCCAAGTCCCTGGCCCGCATAGGCCCAAAATCCAGTCCCCGTGAAGCGCAGCGTACAGCAATTCAGCATGTGACCCCTCCGGTGCTGCGCACGGAGGCGCCACGAGAGTCGCCTGCCACAGAACCGCCGGCAGCAGCTGCATCGCAGGAGGCTGCTGAATTGCGAAAATCTCCAGCAGGGAATATATATGAATATATTGCATGCTGACTTAAAAGGCCAGGCATGTCGGCAAGAGCAGCAGTGGCATGGGCACACGTGCACTTGCTGAGTAGTCGGTCAGCACCCGAGCGAAGGCAGCTGTGGCTTCCGAGCCTCCGTCGGGCCCATAGCATGCGGGTTCTAGGTGCGTTGAAGTTGTTGAGGTGCATCGTAGCAAAGCCTGTTCCCGTCGATACTATACTGGCTCTGGGCCGCTATGAGGCTTGAGCCCTTGGAGAGGAAGGCTGACCTGGCTCCCGAGGAGGCCCATGGCACTCACAAGTATTGCTTTGACTCGTTCCGGCCCAGGGCCTTGTGACCTTGTGGTTGTTCTGTGTGCTTCGGCTTGCCACATCACCGATCAGGCCGTGATTCCCACGCCCTCGCCTTCGAGCGCAGCGCCAGCCGAAGCATCCAGGCGTCTTTTTTTATGTTGCAGGACCTCAAGTGACAGGACTTGCGTGAGTCGCCGTGTTTCCTCGGAAGAGAAGGCCCTGCTCCTTCGACAACCCCTCACAGCCAGGCCGCAGACCGTGTCGGCGGAGCACACCGACGGATCTGCCGAGGAGGCTGCACACACGGGCTTGCTTGATGAAGGCTTCAAGGCTCTACACCAAGAAGGCCTTGAAGGTTTTAAACATGGCGCAGAAAAGACAACTCGCCTGGTGCCTCTCTTGGTTCAGCTGTTTGCTGGCCTTAAATTGCGGATTCGTTTGTCGAGACACCCGGCCCGCACAGGTCCAGAATCCAGTACCTGTGAAGCGCGGATTACAACAAATCAGTGTGCGACTCCTCCGCTGCTGCGCACAAGGGTGGGAGCTGACAGCAGCAAAGTGACGCACGGAGGCGCAAGAGTCGCCTGCCACAGAGCCGCCAACAGCAGCTGCATCGCAGGAGGCTGGTGAATTGCGATACATTCTCCAGCAGGGAATATATTACATGCTGCCAGGCATGTCGGCAAGAGCAGCAGTGGCATGGGCACACGTGAACTTGCTGAGTAGTCGGTCAGCACCCGAGCGAAGGCAGCTGTGGCTTCCAAGCCTCCGTCGGGCCCATAGCATGCGGGTTCTAGGTGCGTTGAAGTTGTTGAGGTGCATCGCAGCAAAGCCTGTTCCCATCGATACTATACTGGCTCTGGGCCGCTATGAGGCTTGAGCCCTTGGAGAGGAAGGCTGACCTGGCTCCCGAGGAGGCCCATGGCACTCACAAGTATTGCTTTGACTCGTTCCGGCCCAGGGCCTTGTGACCTTGTGGTTGTTCTGTGTGCTTCGGCTTGCCACATCACCGATCAGGCCGTGATTCCCACGCCCTCGCCTTCGAGCGCAGCGCCAGCCGAAGCATCCAGGCGTCTTTTTTATGTTGCAGGACCTCAAGTGACAGGACTTGCGTGGGTCGCCGTGTTTCCTCGGAAGAGAAGGCCCTGCTCCTTCGACAACCCCTCACAGCCAGGCCGCAGACCGTGTCAGCGGAGCACGCCGACGGATCTGCCGAGGAGGCTGCACACACGGGCTTGCTTGATGAAGGCTTCAAGGCTCTACACCAAGAAGGCCTTGAAGGTTTTAAACATGGCGCAGAAAAGACAACTCGCCTGGTGCCTCTTGGTTCAGCTGTTTGCTGGCCTTAAATTGCGGATTCGTTTGTCGAGACACCCGGCCCGCACAGGTCCAGAATCCAGTACCTGTGAAGCGCGGATTACAACAAATCAGTGTGCGACTCCTCCGCTGCTGCGCACAAGGGTGGGAGCTGACAGCAGCAAAGTGACGCACGGAGGCGCAAGAGTCGCCTGCCACAGAGCCGCCAACAGCAGCTGCATCGCAGGAGGCTGGTGAATTGCGATACATTCTCCAGCAGGGAATATATTACATGCTGCCAGGCATGTCGGCAAGAGCAGCAGTGGCATGGGCACACGTGAACTTGCTGAGTAGTCGGTCAGCACCCGAGAGAAGGCAGCTGTGGCTTCCAAGCCTCCGTCGGGCCCACAGCATGCGGGTTCTAGGTGCGTTGAAGTTGTTGAGGTGCATCGCAGCAAAGCCTGTTCCCGTCGATACTATACTGGCTCTGGGCCGCTATGAGGCTTGAGCCCTTGGAGAGGAAGGCTGACCTGGCTCCCGAGGAGGCCCATGGCACTCACAAGTATTGCTTTGACTCGTTCCGGCCCAGGGCCTTGTGACCTTGTGGTTGTTCTGTGTGCTTCGGCTTGCCACCTCACTGATCAGGCCGTGATTCCCACGCCCTCGCCTTCGAGCGCAGCGCCAGCCGAAGCATCCAGGCGTCTTTTTTTATGTTGCAGGACCTCAAGTGACAGGACTGGCGTGGGTCGCCGTGGATTTTTCTGACAACCCGTCATAGCCAGGCCCCAGACCGTGTCGGCGGAGCACACCGACGGATCTGCCGAGGAGGCTCCACCCGGTGTCCATAGTGCGGGCATGCTCGACTACACAAAGAAGATAAAGAAGCCCTTGAACCCCTTGGCGTTCTAAACTCGCAGTCCGGATTTCTTGCTCCAAGTCCCTGGCCCGCATAGGCCCAAAATCCAGTCCCCGTGAAGCGCAGCGTACAGCAATTCAGCATGTGACCCCTCCGGTGCTGCGCACGGAGGCGCCACGAGAGTCGCCTGCCACAGAACCGCCGGCAGCAGCTGCATCGCAGGAGGCCGGTGACTTGCGAAAATCTCCAGCAGGGAATATATATGAATATATTGCATATTAAAAAGCCAGGCATGTCGGCAAGAGCAGCAGTGGCATGGGCACACGTGAACTTGCTGAGTAGTCGGTCAGCACCCGAGCGAAGGCAGCTGTGGCTTCCAAGCCTCCGTCGGGCCCATAGCATGCGGGTTCTAGGTGTGTTGAAGTTGTTGAGGTGCATCGTAGCAAAGCCTGTTCCCATCGATACTATACTGGCTCTGGGCCGCTATGAGGCTTGAGCCCTTGGAGAGGAAGGCTGACCTGGCTCCCGAGGAGGCCCATGGCACTCACAAGTATTGCTTTGACTCGTTCCGGCCCAGGGCCTTGTGACCTTGTGGTTGTTCTGTGTGCTTCGGCTTGCCACATCACCGATCAGGCCGTGATTCCCACGCCCTCGCCTTCGAGCGCAGCGCCAGCCGAAGCATCCAGGCGTCTTTTTTATGTTGCAGGACCTCAAGTGACAGGACTTGCGTGGGTCGCCGTGTTTCCTCGGAAGAGAAGGCCCTGCTCCTTCGACAACCCCTCACAGCCAGGCCGCAGACCGTGTCAGCGGAGCACGCCGACGGATCTGCCGAGGAGGCTGCACACACGGGCTTGCTTGATGAAGGCTTCAAGGCTCTACACCAAGAAGGCCTTGAAGGTTTTAAACATGGCGCAGAAAAGACAACTCGCCTGGTGCCTCTTGGTTCAGCTGTTTGCTGGCCTTAAATTGCGGATTCGTTTGTCGAGACACCCGGCCCGCATAGGTCCAGAATCCAGTACCTGTGAAGCGCGGATTACAACAAATCAGTGTGCGACTCCTCCGCTGCTGCGCACAAGGGTGGGAGCTGACAGCAGCAAAGTGACGCACGGAGGCGCAAGAGTCGCCTGCCACAGAGCCGCCAACAGCAGCTGCATCGCAGGAGGCTGGTGAATTGCGATACATCAATCTCCAGCAGGGAATATATTACATGCTGCCAGGCATGTCGGCAAGAGCAGCAGTGGCATGGGCACACGTGAACTTGCTGAGTAGTCAGTCAGCACCCGAGCGAAGGCAGCTGTGGCTTCCAAGCCTCCGTCGGGCCCATAGCATGCGGGTTCTAGGTGTGTTGAAGTTGTTGAGGTGCATCGTAGCAAAGCCTGTTCCCGTCGATACTATACTGGCTCTGGGCCGCCATGAGGCTTGAGCCCTTGGAGAGGAAGGCTGACCTGGCTCCCGAGGAGGCCCATGGCACTCACAAGTATTGCTTTGACTCGTTCCGGCCCAGGGCCTTGTGACCTTGTGGTTGTTCTGTGTGCTTCGGCTTGCCACCTCACCGATCAGGCCGTGATTCCCACGCCCTCGCCTTCGAGCGCAGCGCCAGCCGAAGCATCCAGGCGTCTTTTTTTATGTTGCAGGACCTCAAGTGACAGGACTTGCGTGGGTCGCCGTGGATTTTTCTGACAACCCGTCATAGCCAGGCCCCAGACCGTGTCGGCGGAGCACACCGACGGATCTGCCGAGGAGGCTCCACCCGGTGTCCATAGTGCGGGCATGCTCGACTACACAAAGAAGATAAAGAAGCCCTTGAACCCCTTGGCCCATGGCACACCACATGGCATACTAGAGAAGCCTCAGACTCGCTTAGTGCCTCTTCGCCCAACTGTGGGCTGGACTCAAAGCGTGGATTCGTTGCACCAAGTCCCTGGCTTGCATAGGCCCCGGTGAAGCGCAGGGTACAACAAATCTGCATGTGACCCCTCCAGTGCTGTGCACGCTCGTGCTAGCTTCCGGCAGAGAACTGATGCACGGAGGCGCCACAAGAGTCGCCTGCCACAGAACCGCCGGCAGCAGCTGCATCGCAGGAGGCTGGTGAGTTGCGATAACTTAGAGCCGGACTGATGTATGTTGGATCAGAACTCCATGCACGTCCAAACATGTTGTTGGCAGGAACATAAGCAGGACGCGTATGATGACGCCCAATCTGTTTCTTGACTAGTGCAGTCCGTGCGCATCTGTGCTCGACGTGGAACATCTGCTTTCCTACACCAAAAATATACAAGCAATCAATATATATATATATATATATATATATATATAATATAATATAATATAATATAATATAATATAATATAATATAATATATAATATATATATAATATAATATATAATATATAATATATAATATAATATAATATATATATAATATAATATAATATACATAATATAATATAATATAATATAATATAATATAATATAATATAATATAATATAATATAATATAATATAATATAATATAATAATATATAATAATATATAATATAATATAATATATAATATTATATAATATATAACATAATATAATATAATATAATATAATATAATATAATATAATATAATATAATATAATATAATATAATATAATATAATATAATAATATATAATAATATATAATATAATATAATATATAATATTATATAATATATAACATAATATAATATAATATAATATAATATAATATAATATAATATAATATAATATAATATAATATAATATAATTATATATATATATACACACACACACTCTCGGTCATCTTTCGACCGCAGGCAGCTGTGGCTTCCGAGCCTCCGCCGAGCCCATGGCATGCCGCAGGTTCTAGGTGTTCCTGAGATTTCCTGAGAGGAAGGGCTCTCCAAGTTGGAGCTTTTTCTATTGCTTCCCTGCGCTTGGCACTTTCTGGTTGGGTAGGTCGGTTTCTGTGACCGGAGATTTCCTTGAAACAAGTTCGATGTGCCGTCCATGGGCGTGGTCATGACGTGTTCGCACTTGCCGAGCCGTCATGAGCCATCGATTCCCAGGGACTTGATGTGAGCACTACTACGCAGGCTCCAATCGTAGCGAGTTCGGTGTAGATTTTTTGCATCAGCTTGTCGTCACATCACTGTTTGTGTAGGTGTTAGCCTGTACGACTTTCCCCCCGCCCACCCTCTTAGTGGATTAGCTGTCGAGGCGAGCCGGAGCTATCGTCGAGTCGTCTCGACATCAAACCTCGTTTCTCTCCGTTGCCTGTTTGATCCTATCACTCCTCGACGTTTCTTTTGATCAGATCATACTAGCATTTACACATGAATTCCGAACAGCTACGCGCGATTGCTCTCAGCCTTCCTCAGGCCTGAACGGGTCCTGGCGGAGGATGTTCACCGGTCTAACGAGGCCCAGACCGCCGTGACCGGTGAGAGATGGGAGTTTCCGAAAATAAGGGACCCTAATATAGTACCCTAAATAGTAGGACCCTTATTATCAGGGCCCCAAAATGAGGTACCCCTAATTGTCGGAAACTCCCAGATAGTGAGAGTCTGAGAGTATGTTTGCGAGGCTCCTACTTTCCTCCGTGGTCTTGCGGCAAGCGGCGTTTTGCGAGTAGGGCATTTAGTGGCTTTAATAGGGTCCTGTTATGATTATAGTATACGATACCCCCAATCAAACCCTATACGAACTATTAAGGCCCCTACATCATAGTACCCTTATAGATCCCTTCTAGTAGCCCCTTTAAAGGAATCCTATGAAACCCTATTCGAACTATTAAGGCCCCTACACTACGGTGCTTTGCAGGTCACCTACGGGGTTTCTGGATCCTCTGGTCAGACAGGACAGCGAAGGGTCGGTGCATGGCAGTCGACACCATGCCGCTTTAAGGATTCTCTAGGGCCTAAATGATTTCCTATATACTAATTACTTTGGAGGGGCTCCATATTATAACTATAGTATAATGGGCCCCAAAACCTTATTCTAATTGTGAAGGGAGCCTGTATGAAAGATGATAGAGGATAGCAGGGATTCAGAGAGTACTCATGCGAAGCCCATCTTGCTCTCATGGCAGTCAGAGTCGAGAATGCTGCAGGAAGCGAGGCATCATCTGGGAGCCAGCCTTCGGCAAGCGACACTTGGCTCTTGATTTGTTGTCCGATACACTGTACATACCAGCCTCTTGTAAAACATGCGGAGCTCTTCGTGGTGCCCGTTCCGAAATACAGGACGGCGGGAGACCGGCAGCGGCGGCGCTCACGGAGTCGTCGATAAGTTCGGAGAGCCGCTCAGGCAGATTGAGGGAAGGAGAGAGACGTTTCGGATTCCATTCGTCTTGACCAGGCGACGCACCCGGCCCATACAGACCCGGGGCACAAGCACGCGCAAGAGGACCGGCTCACTCAAACGCATCATGCGAATGTCGGCCTGCACTGGTGGCGCTCGGCGCCTGCTCGTACCCTTAGAGTCGTGTTCAGGCGGTTCGGCTTCCAGTGCAGATGCAGCGAGCAAGCCGCTGGAAACAGACGCTTGCCGTGCAGTCAGCTTGAAGTGACGTCCGGTGGATTTTGAGCGCCTCTCCGTGCAGGCGTGAAACAACACATAAATGTCAGTCAACTAGAACAAGAGCCGGACGGCGTCATTGGGCCAGAGATGCAAGAGAGACCTTGTAGACTTGGATAGTTCGCACGCCCCCTGACAGTTCATCTGTCAGTGGCCGGGCTGATAGAGATAGAGCTGTTGCGGCCATGCCCTGCACTGTTCCAAGCGGTTCCAAGCTCTACTGGAGAGCGTGCCAAGGAAGGGAGCAGTTCGATTTCTTCGTCCTGGGAGGATCCTCTGCGCCGTTTCACATGTGCTGCCACCATAGACTATACGAAGAAACAATGGGCTAGATTATACTACAGTATACTATAAACTACATACGATAAACTGAACATACTATAGGTTACTATAGTAGCGTACTATACACTACTATAACATAGTATATTGTCCTATGACAAGATGCCATACTATATTACTATATAAACTATATAGTATCATTGTACTAAGTCTTGAGTGTGCCTGAATTCAGGGAACCGGACCCGGAAAGCCGGAAAGCGGCAGAGTTGCCGGAGACCGAGCTGGCCAGTGGAGTCGCTGTCTTTTTTCGCTACAGGCGTCCATTATATATTGTAATCTTATATTATGGTATATTATGGCAGTTTGTAGTGTCTTGTAGTATGTTACAGTCTTTTATAGTGTACTATAGTATCTTACAGTATATCGTAGTGTCAACCTAGTGCAAACGAATGCCCTGTCACTCTGAGATGGCGACCCGAATGCTGGCTGATGCGCTCAAAAGTTTCTCCGGTGATCTCCGGCAGGCCAGACGGTTTAGGATTTAGGGTTTAGGATTTAGGGTTTGGGGTTGAGAGAAGTGCTGAGACACGAGTACACATGAGTCGAGTTTAATGCTAGTAATGCACATGTTTGCTAGCAGCGGAGCTTCGGCCATGGTGATGTCCATCATTCCGTGTTGTGCTTTTCGAGCAAAAGCTCGAATGTCGTAGCCCTGAAGAAGGACGACAGGGATGTTTTCTAGCGCGGAGTCGCTTCAAGCATCGTCACAAGAATGAACAAGCTGCAGATGCTTGCGGCGGTGTGGTCTCGTTTGGCGAACAGCCACACGTGTAAAGATGCTCATGTGCAGCTGGCGTGGATGCAGTGAAGTCTTGATCGGTGCAATCGCTAGATTTGCAGAGGAAACTGTTGAGTAGGCTAGTTAACACCAGGCGAGCTATACTCACATCTACCATAATATGCTGTGTTCTATTTAAATCTATGCAGGAATATGTAGTTAATCATGTACAGCAGTATGTATGTTAGTGTATCTGTACATGTACATCGACAGATACTTGAGTATACATTAGTATATATTATGAAACTTATTGTAGTTATATAATAGTTAGATCTGCTATTGGATTTACACCAATATATGTAACCTGCATATATCTGTATACACATCTTTGTTCACAGACATACTTTCAACTTAATGGTCCTGAGAGCAGCTGGAGGCAGCGAGAAGTATTTCATCTCGGCTTTCCTCGCCCACTAGCTCCCATCGACCGAGTCTGGCCCCTTCTCCGGCGACTTCTCCCAGGGAGGACGGGGCCAGCGGGTTGGGGTCTTTGGGGTTTAGGGGTTCAAGGGTTTGGGTGTCTGTCTATCGATCGCCCTTATTCAGGAGCTTCGTGCCAGCTCGCGTCACAGAACCGCTCCTGCCGCCCTGGCGAAGGCAGGCTCTTCCTCGAGCGGGCTTTGACACGGTTGGTGATTCTTGGGCTCATCCGGGCACTGGCAGGAATCGCCTCCATCCGTGGAGCCAGCTGCACAGCGCGATGTGGAAGCTACTGCGAAGAAAGCGACAGGGCAGGCAGACCAACCCAGAGGGAAGTCTTTGGGCGAGTTTCGTTTCGCAAGCTACCACTCCGTACCACTACAGTATACCACAGTATGGTTTTCCAGTTTCTTATAGCGCCTTATTGTACGGTAGTTATAGAGCAAGAACCAGCCCGCTGTTGTCTGGAGGTTGCAGCGCCAGCTGCGGGAGCTCAGGTTCCGAGACAGGGTTTCGGGTTCGACAGAGCACTGTTGCGGCTTTAGCTGATCCTGATATTGAGGCCTCTGAGAATAAATGATTTAGGAAGTGTCGGGTTTACGACAGAAGGTATATCCTTTTTTGACATTGCGTTTGAAGACTGACGCCTTCATGATTCAGAGTACGCATGGGCGACGTCAACGAATAGAAACGGTACATTTGCCGTTGCGGCTGAGTGCGCACATTCATTACGCAGATGGGCAAGCGCAAAGTGGATAAAATCAGTATCGTACCTTGATCACATGTGTCCGTAATTGCAAATGTCAAGCGTTGCAAGAAAGCACAAAACCCGACAGCTGTGCAGGCTTGTAGGCTACCTCACAAAACGCTAAAGCAAACGATTGCTGCAGAGGAGGTCAGCTTGTGGTGGGCCTTGAGTTGAGAAAACTGATGGTGATTAGAATATATCATCGTTTTAGCGTGGCTGACATAACTCTGTATATAATGAAACGTAGTATGTCGTACTGCATTGTTCCAGGTCACCTTAACTTGTCGTCTATGATAGTACATTATAGCATGCTTGACAATAGAAATCGTGGCACATGATATCGATTTTATACCACATCGTAGTATTTAAAGTGTAGCATGATAGTGCTCTAGTCTAGCATCATAATATAATGTAGCATATCGTAGCATCGTATATCATAGTTGTATTTGTGTGTTCTGTACTTAAACCGGCCTGGTCAGAGCGCCTTTAGGAATGTTGCCACCCACGACTAGTCCGGCCGAGTAGTGAAACCGGTAACCTGCTCCTCCGATTTCATTGCAGTTCCATGCTTTGTGTATTAGTACAAAAATCGTTCATTACAGTATCTCATATAGTCTTCATTATGGTGTACTGTTGTATGTCAGAGTACATGTTTTGGTACATACTACCGAGCCCAGTATTGTACATGCTATAGTACAGCATGTACAACCTGTTAACATAGACATAAACGATGGGCCCAAATAGTTGCCTATACTATTTTTGTTTTTTTTGAGGGGCTTCTTTATTATGACAGTAGTATAATATACCCCCAAAGCCCTGTTCTAATCCAAACGTATACCATGGACTACAAAGATGGCATGTCCAGGGCACTGCATCGTCAGCACCCTCACCTGGGAGACCACGCTCAGCTGCTGAGGCTCGGTACCAGTCGTGCCGGTAGTGGGCCTTTTCTTCGAGGTGTGCACACAGAGCTGCGAATATCAGCATAGTAGATAAAGGTATGTTATAGTTTATCATTGGCAAGTTATAGGATGTCATAGAAGAATTGTAGCAGTGTAGAATATGCTGGAGCTTCCGCTCCTCGTAGCAGAGCATTGCTGATGCCTGGCGACGTGCGGATGCCAGACCATGGTCGTTGCAAGAGTCCCGTGTTTGCTGTCCGTCTTGCGACGAGACGAGACGAGTACTGTGGTCTTCCAAGAACGGGGTTGCCATTATTCCGCAGAGGGCACAACTCAAGTTGAGAGATGCATCGTGGAGCTGTGCTGAGGGGTGCTCGATAACTCAAGCTTACGTAGTACAGTCAACGCAGCAGTACAAGCCATGGGACTCACAGAATGAAACATGTGGAGGTGGTGGCGTCGCGCAAGTCTTCTGCTGCGGAGCCGATTGCAGAAGATGCAGTCCACAAGGCCAAGAATTTCTGGGGAAGACATGAAATGCTGCTGTTGCGGATATGCAGCACTGTGGTGTGGTGTTTGCTAGTGTTTGCAACCGACCGTCCATTTTTCTGAGTCGTAGTATCGGTCAGCTTGTGGACGCAGGCAGCCACGGGTTCTGCATCTCCACTTTCGCGACCATCGAGTGAGGAAGGGCGCGGGTATGTTCCCCAGCGCCGGAGTCCATGACGGATGTCTTTGTAGCATCGGAAACAGTCAGGCCTGATAGCAGCTCGCGGGCCCATGCTGATGCGGCTCCCAAAGAGGCATCGGCGCCTGGGGGTGTGTTTTGCTTTCGAGAACTTGGGTCCGCAAGTTGTTTATAAGATCAGTTGGACAAACGCCAGTGGTGCTTTGTGCCTTTGAGTTGGATTGGACTGGGGTTCAAGATGTCGCTGGAGCTTCGGCAGAAAGGCTGCTCTAGGCAGCAGTACACGCCCAGGGGACAAACATGCAGGTGGCGTCGCGCAAGCCTTCTGCTGCGGAGCCGATTGCAGAAGATGCAGTCCAGAAGGCCAAGAATTTCTGGGGAAGACATGAAATGCTGCTGTTGCGGATATGCAGCACTGTGGTGTCGTGTTTTCTAGTGTTTGCAACCGACCGTGCATTTTTCTGAGTCGTAGTATCGGTCAGCTTGTGGACGCAGGCAGCCACGGGTTCTGCATCTCCACTTTCGCGACCATCGAGTGAGGAAGGGCGCGGGTATGTTCCCCAGCGCCGGAGTCCATGACGGATGTCTTTGTAGCATCGGAAACAGTCAGGCCTGATAGCAGCTCGCGGGCCCATGCTGATGCGGCTCCCAAAGAGGCATCGGCGCCTGGGGGTGTGTTTTGCTTTCGAGAACTTGGGTCCGCAAGTTGTTTATAAGATCAGTTGGACAAACGCCAGTGGTGCTTTGTGCCTTTGAGTTGGATTGGACTGGGGTTCAAGATGTCGCTGGAGCTTCGGCAGAAAGGCTGCTCTAGGCAGCAGTACACGCCCAGGGGACAAACATGCAGGTGGCGTCGCGCAAGCCTTCTGCTGCGGAGCCGATTGCAGAAGATGCAGTCCACAAGGCCAAGAATTTCTGGGGAAGACATGAAATGCTGCTGTTGCGGATATGCAGCACTGTGGTGTGGTGTTTTCTAGTGTTTGCAACCGACCGTGCATTTTTCTGAGTCGTAGTATCGGTCAGCTTGTGGACGCAGGCAGCCACGGGTTCTGCATCTCCACTTTCGCGACCATCGAGTGAGGAAGGGCGCGGGTATGTTCCCCAGCGCCGGAGTCCATGACGGATAGCTTTGTAGCATCGGAAACAGTCAGGCCTGATAGCAGCTCGCGGGCCCATGCTGATGCGGCTCCCAAAGAGGTATCGGCGCCTGGGGGTGTGTTTTGCTTTCGAGAACTTGGGTCCGCAAGTTGTTTATAAGATCAGTTGGACAAACGCCCGTGGTGCTTTGTGCCTTTGAGTTGGATTGGACTGGGGTTCAAGATGTCGCTGGAGCTTCGGCAGAAAGGCTCCTCTAGGCAGCAGTACAAGCCCAGGGGACAAACATGCAGGTGGCGTCGCGCAAGCCTTCTGCTGCGGAGCCGATTGCAGAAGATGCAGTCCACAAGGCCAAGAATTTCTGGGGAAGACATGAAATGCTGCTGTTGCGGATATGCAGCACTGTGGTGTGGTGTTTTCTAGTGTTTGCAACCGACCGTGCATTTTTCTGAGTCGTAGTATCGGTCAGCTTGTGGACGCAGGCAGCCACGGGTTCTGCATCTCCACTTTCGCGACCATCGAGTGAGGAAGGGCGCGGGTATGTTCCCCAGCGCCGGAGTCCATGACGGATGTCTTTGTAGCATCGGAAACAGTCAGGCCTGATAGCAGCTCGCGGGCCCATGCTGATGCGGCTCCCAAAGAGGCATCGGCGCCTGGGGGTGTGTTTTGCTTTCGAGAACTTGGGTCCGCAAGTTGTTTATAAGATCAGTTGGACAAACGCCAGTGGTGCTTTGTGCCTTTGAGTTGGATTGGACTGGGGTTCAAGATGTCGCTGGAGCTTCGGCAGAAAGGCTGCTCTAGGCAGCAGTACAAGCCCAGGGGAGTCCCAGGGGACAAACATGCAGGTGGCGTCGCGCCAGTCTTCTGCCGCGGAGCCGATTGCAGAAGATGCAGTCCAGAAGGCCAAGAATTTCTGAGGAAGACGTGAAAGGCTGCTGTTGCAGATATGCAGGACCTTGCGGGAGAGTTTGTTATTGTTTGTATCCGAGTGTCTTCGTGGTATCGATCAGCTTGCGGACGCAGGCAGCCATGGGCTCCGCGCCTCCACTTTCGAGACCGTCGCGTGAGGGAGATCGCAGGCATCTTGCTGAGAGCTGGAGTCCATGACGCAGATCTTGTCAGAGTTTTTCGGGGTTTAGCCCGAGTCTGGAAAAGTAGGTCAGGTGAAGTGTAACCGTAGCATCTCAGAGCCAGGTCGGACAGCACCTTGGCAGACGGTGCTGATGCGGCTCCCAAAGAGGCACCGGTGCCTGTCACAAGTGAGGGTTGCTTGATCCGGGCCCAAAGGCTTGAAGTTGTTTGCGGTTAGTTGGACAAGCGCCGGTTGCGCTTGGCTTTCGACTGTTGCCGCAACAGCTAGGAACTAGTGGACTCAGTGGACTGGTTTGATTCATTCACTAATTTGTTAGTACGCCTTAGGAAGGTCTCCCAGCCGCTTCACACCGTGCATATGGGTGGAGGCACAGCGGCACAGGTAGATGAGCTGAATGGGGTTGCACGCAGTGAGGTTTGCTACTCACAACGCTCATATCTAACATGCTATAAAACAATACCAATAACAACTTAATACTATAAGAGCATCTTATAGTTCGAATAATATCAGTTTAATACTGATAGTTCTAACAATAGTGATACTAGTACTGTTAATAGCAGCAATTATGACAATAACCACCACAACAACATACAACAACAACAATACTGTACTAATCATGCCAATAAGAACAACAATAACAACATCAAAATAAATAACAATAGCAACAATGTCAATCTTCATAACAATCCTAGTCATAATCATAGTGATATTCCCACTCATAATTATAATCATACTCATCACATCATAATCATAATTTGACAATACCAGTAATAGTACGAATAGGATGTATCACAATAGCAATATTCATAATATATCATAATAATTTCGGATCTTGAGCTTTGGAATCCTTGACTCCCGGTTGTGTTGCTCAGGATTCAGAGCCGGCCTCACAGCCGTCACAAGCTCCTCGGCAGCAAAGCTTCTTTGAACGCAGGGTGGGGTAGGGTCGGTCCGTGACGCGCATCGCCATCACATGCCATCACCATCTGCACCCTCGAAGGCGCTTTCGTTCAGTCCGGTAGCTCCTCTGGCCAAGAAGCCTCTTGCACCTTGGAGCCCGACCTGGTTTCGTATGCACAAAGACTCACAAAGTCATGCAGGGAAGCAGCTCCCTTGACCTTCGACACTCGTTCATGCCAGCGAGGCAACTTCAGTACTATGTGTGAGCCGAAATCAATAGCACTGTGAACGATTGCACATTCCAGCCGGAGACTAGGGGCTCATAGCATATGCTTTCCCAGCTTCAGCCACACTGACGGAAGAATGAGGACTCCAAGGCCAGAGAGCTTCCCATGCTTCTAGGGGCGTTAAAATTTAGAATAGGTTTTGGGTGTTGTTATTATAATAACTGTTGTAATAGGGAACCCCCCCACAATACCCCCACAATAGTATTGGTAGCATTGTATCAGAGTTTCAAACTATTGGGTCGCACCGCTCGTTTTGCCTTAAGGTGCCTGCGTCATCACAGACTTCCAGCCCGCCTGCGCTCGCCTTGGCACACGGGTGGTTGTTAAAATTATGGCCCTTTTTGGGGTCCTTCTTGTAATGCGGCACCTAATATTTAGGGTACTTAAACATGGGACCATAATTTTGACAACCACCCACATGTTCCCAAAGACAGTATGATGGTAGCATACCGTCGCAGGATTTTTGGTATGAATCTCGTCAGGTTATAGTATGATCACAGTATGATTAGCGTACGTTTATCGTAGATCATAGCGTAATAGCAACCTCTTGTATTATAGTAACCCTCACATTGTAGTAGCTCATCTTACAGTAAAAACTCTTGTTATAGTAACCTGCATACTAGAGTAACCCCTTATCATGGAGCTGCTCTTTGCTCTTTGCTCTGACTCCGTCGGACGCAGCTGGGAGTTTCCGAAAATAGGGGGACCCTAATATAGTACCCTAGATAGTAGGATCCTTATTATAAGGACCCCAAAACAAGGTACCCCTAATTTTCGGAAACTCCCTAAACCCTAAACCCTATAGATCCCTTATAGGAACCCTTAAAGGATCCCTTTAAAGGAGCCCTAATTTTCGGAAACTCCCAGCTGAGGATGTCTCGGGCCTTCCGATGGAGGATGCACTGAAGGTGCTCCTGAGTTCCGTGAACCGCGCCTCACAGGACCGATCCCATGATAAGGGCATCCCGGTAATGTAGATATACTGTTCTCTTGCGAAGACGTAATCTACATATATACATATATGTATATATACACACTCAGAATTCTAGCTTGCTATGATATATTCTATAATGTACTGTAATGTACGATAATGTAGCAGAATATGCTGGAATGTACTACGTTCAAGGTTTAGGGTTTCACTGCGGACATGCGGAAGCAATGTTCACGGACTTTCGTTGGTGTGCCGTGGCCCCGACAGAAAGAGAGGGAGGGAGAGAGATCCTTAAGGGGGACCTCAACTTGGGAAGCAAATGCACCAAAGTAGAAGGCATGGGGGAAGTGATCTGATTCTGCAAGGACCTCAACATGTGCAGTAGGTTGGTTTTTGCAGTAGTTTCTTTCAGAACGGGGAATCAGCTACAAACCATGTCTAGAGTTTTTGTTTTCTGCCTTCTTTGGTAGATTACAGTAAATCGTTCGGCATCCCAGATGGCGTTGCAGAGTCTGGTCTCAGGAGCTAGCACTTCTTACCCAGGATGAGCCCGGCAAGAAGGCGCGAGAGCAGAGACTTGTTAATTAGTGGTTGAGCATGTCCCCGATGGTGGGTTTAAGTTGGGAGCTTCAACCAAGTCGATGGCATACAAAAATGCAAACGGCCTTTACAATCGCTCAGATGACATGCCGTAAAGCAGCCACAATCCTAAACCCCAAAACCCTAAACCCCTAAAACATCCTAAAACCGTAAACCCTAAACCCTAAAACCCTAAACCCTAAAAGCAGGTCACTCGCGCGGCTTCCGGATCCTTTGGCCAAGGCCGAGGACAGAGCGAGAAGATTCCCACCAAACCAGAACTTCCTTATCACGACGCTAGTATATGTTTTGTATACATATGTATATATGTAGATAATTGTATATACATACACCCGAACATGTATGCATATGTATTTGCATATGTATATGTATATAATGTTTACACAGTTCTTATAAATATATATATATATATATATATAAATATATATATATATATATATATATGCATCTACATACATATATATATATATATATATATATATACGTTTACTGTACATACAACTGTATATATATATATATATATATATATATGTATACAGGTATGTATATACACGGAATTCTACACACACACACACACACACATCTGTGTATGTGTTTATTGTTGATTTTCACATAATTATTTAGTAAGTACTATTGCTGTTTGTATTGCTATTATGCCCTGATGTGTTGTGTAGTGGCATCGCAGTCAGAGTCGAGCATCCTGCAGGAAATGAGGCATCCTCGGGGAGCCAGCCTTCGGCCAGCGACACTTGGCTCTTGATTGTTGTTTCCAGACCTTGTGCCAGCATCTTGAACTTCCGCTCGGAAATACAGGCCGGAAGGACACCGGCAGCCGCCGCGCTCACGGAGTCGTCGATGAGTTCGGAGAGCCGCTCAGGCAGGCACTGTCTAGCACCTGTGAGGGGAGGCTGGAGGCACAAGCTTGTGCAGAAGGCCAGGCTTCTGCAAGCCCATCCCAGAATTATACATGATTATTCTTATTATTAACATTATTATCATTAGTATGATTATTTTTATTAAACCGCACTAGTCGCGCTTGTTCAGGCGACGCGGCTTCCAGCGCAGATGCAGCGAGCATTCCGCTGGAAACAGACGCTTGCTGCGCAGCCAGCTTGAAGGCTTGAAGCTTTACAGTACCCCCAACAAAACCAGCCCTTACAGTGACCCTACCATGGGCCGCACATATGGGAGTTTCCGAAAATAGGGGACCCAAATAGTAGGACCCTTATTAGAAGGACCCCCAAATAAGGTACCCCCTATTTTCGGAAACCCCCATATTAGCCCTGCAGTTCCTACAGCTGCAGGCTCGCAACCTCGATCCGCCCCACAGGAAACCAAGTTGTTAATATAGGGGCCCCGTTCTGCCCCCGTTCTGAATAATTACCTGTACTATTTTGGGGGTTCCTTTTTATAATTATAGTATAGTGGGCCCCAAAATCCTATTCTAATTATTAAGGCCCCTATATTACTTCAAGTCGAGCCTGCTCTCCTTGGGGGTACTAACAAAAGAATCATACAATGACTAGAGCAAATTCTGGTTTTTGGGTGGAAGGGGGGGTAACTCCTTGGCTTTCAGGGGAATAATACTCGTTATGACTAAAAATTAGCTGTTAGGAACTATTTAGGCCGCTAGGACTGGCTAAGCGTGCACAGGCCAACCGGCGAGGCTCTCTCAACAGCCATGGGACGCAACGAAAGTTTGCTGTCCAAGATGACCCGAGCTCTACACAACACACATGTTCAATTTAGACCAAAAAAGGCATCCAAATCTGAATGAAAACGTCATGGGCTTGAAGAAAGGTTGCAGTTGGCCATCGCCTCCATTTCTTGTCCATGCCGGACAACAACTTCATGTGCAGTGAAGTGGCATGTACCTGTGAAAAGTTGGGAAAGGACTGCGGCAGGTGCGGCCGACGTAGACGATCACGAGCTCGAAGAGCATGCCAGCTTGGAGTTTGGATCATGAGACTTATTAAGTAGGGTTATAATTAATTAGGTTACAGTAACTATCCTTCTAAGTACCTATAAGTCTAATTAAGGTACTTAAAAAACTGTCCACCTAATTCACTGCCTAGAAGGTAGTAGTAGCAGGCTCGGATATGTTGTCTGTACTCTGCTCACATTCGACATCCCTGCCCTAGAAGCGGAAATGCCAAGGAAGGTCGTGCCGAAGGGCCAGTCGACGCAGAGCCGCTTGAAACAGGACGGGGCTGCTCTAAGATACTTTCGTTGCCATGAGACTAAACCCTAAACCTCTAAAACCTTAAACCCTAAATCCCCAAACCCTAAACCCCTAGACCCTAAACTCTAAACACCTAAACCCCTAAACCCTAAGCCCCTAAACCTGGTCGTTACCGGGCCTCGGTTCCCGAACGGTCGAGGTGAGGCGACATCCAGCGCGGATGCAAGACGCCTGCCGGAAACCGACGCTTGGCGAAGAGCTCCCCAAGCCCCTTGTGAACACATATAGCCATCTTATGGCTCGAAGTTCGAGCTTACCGCAAGAAGGACCCGCATTTTGCACCCGAACTGGAGCAGTGCCTTGCGCTCCGATCCGCCCAAACCGCTTGGCCATTGTTTTTTTGGCTCAAGACGTGAAAGTGAAAAGCATTTTAGAGCTAGAGCCCGTTGTTTGGCAAATCGGTCTTCGGACTTCTCATGGCGGCCCGTGCCCCTTTGGTTTACCTGGCCGTGGCAGCCATCTTCTCCTGCGGCGATACCCTTCGCTCGCAGCAAGGCCATGAACACTCTGTTACCCGAGACGGAGCGGAAGGGGAAGCGTCGCAGCAGTCGGATACGGAGAAGTTGTTTGACCTATGCTGCTGCTCCTACAAGTACGACCGCCACTGGGGCCGCCGGTCTGAAGCTTTTGACGGAGCCAAATTCGGCCTCACGAAGGACCATTGCCCTGCCAAAGGTTGTCTTACCTTCGCCGTGCCTTGCGCTGGATCAAATTATGAGATCACATGTGAAATCCAGCACTTATGGTGCTCCTAAGCACCTGCCTTAGTCTGGAGGACGCTTGGTTGAAGCCGCCTTGCCGAACAGAAAAAGTTACTTCTCGTCCGAGAGGCACTTGAACCCCTAAACCCTGAACACATAGCCATCTTATAGCTTGAACCCCTAAACCCGGAACACATAGCCATCTGATAGCTTGAACCCTAAACCCTGAACACATAGCCATCTGATAGCTTGAACCCTATACCCTGAACACATAGCCATCTTATAGCTTGAACCCTCAACCCTGAACACATAGCCATCTTATAGCTTGAACCCTCAACCCTAAAACCCTTAAAGCCTAGACTTCCACGCTCCCCTAGCAGATATGATATACCAATACAAAACATGTGTGTATATTTTCTATATGTATATATATATGTATATTTACATACGGTTGATGATATAAATCCTGCATGACCTTCAGGACCTTAACCTATGGGAACTATGCTACATTCCGTATTTTGGGTCATGCAGGATTTATATCATCAACCGTATTTATATACAGATGCAGCTTCATATTCACATCTGCACATATATATATATATATGTATAGATAAATAAGAGTACACAAAATTATATACATATATGTACATGTAAACTTGATTTATATATGTAGCACTGCTGTGCAGCTGCAGGGAGTAGCGTATGTGGGGGTTTTTCGGACATGAACCCTAAATCCTAAACCCCGGGACCCGTAAACCCTAAACCCTAAATGGGCGTGCAAAAAATGGGCTTTCGTGACCGTTACTGTAATGTAAGAAGACAATAATATAATATGTTATGGTATAATTTGATTTGATATAACACAAGATAGTAGGAGTTGCCCTTCATCAGCGCCAACTTCCTTGCTTCCTTTCCGGGGGAGTCCTTCTTTGAACTAGTTCCTAATCATTCCTATACAATCATATTCTGCAGCAACGAGGATCGCGTCGGAAATCTGCCGGATCCATCGGTTGGTTTGGCAGGCCCGCTTGTTTTTGCAGCCGTGCGAATTAGTACTGGCCAACTAGTGTTGCATATGAAGTGCACCCTAAACGCCAAACCCTAAACCACCCTAAACCCCAAAGCGTCCTGTGCCCCGCAGGAGTCAACTGGAGTGCCGTGGATCTCAACACCGGCTTGGAAGACAGCGGAATGCTGAAACAGATCAGCTTCATGAGCAACGAGGACCTTCCTGCTCTTGGGAGATCATTGGGTTATATACTATAGTATATTCTAGTATACCATTGTACAGTATCGCATATTAGTTATAGTATATCAGTGTTATAGTACAGTTTAATATGTACACCATGCTAGAAATAGTATTATCATATCATGGTATATTATACGTAGGCGAACCTTAGCTGCCCCTCCGACTGCGAGCGAGTTGAAGCGAAGGAGAAATCCGGGCTGTCCCTGAGCTCGCACTCTCCAGGCTTCAAACTCCTGTGATGTCTTCGTGTATAGAACACCATGACTGGGTTCTTGGTAAGGGATTTAGTTTACGTTACCATAACAGGGATCTATAGTAGATAGTATGGTTTCCGTATTATGTTAACTCTAATTGGTTTCCTTAGCAAGAACCCAGTATTGTGCAGCATGATTGTGTTAGAAGCGGAGTGACAATGACACATCGTGTAGGCAGCCAGGCGGCAGGTGTTGCCGAGACGTACCAAGAGGCGCAAACCTGCCTGGGAGCTGGCGGAGGGTTCAGGCTTTAGGGTAACTTAAGACTAGCCGAAGAATCCTCGTACATAGACGACTATAGAATCTTCACTGGGCGTGACACGAGGGAACTTGGTCTTGGCCGATCGTGGCTACATGCGCCGTGCTTTGTAGTTGGGGCTAGCGCAGGAAGGACATGGTCTAGGGAGCAGTGCAGTGTCGCTGAATGTCGCTCATCACTGAAGGGCTCGGAAAGCAGTGCGGTCAACTCGGTGCCGGGCTCAGTGTGCGAGGCTGCACACCAGTCGCATATTATCCAGTATACGCGAGCTGTCAGCAGAAATCTCTGTCTGCCGGTGTCCATGGGCACAAACAGCAGACCAACAGTAGGAAGCCCAATAAATGATCGGACTACTTGCTGTCAACTGCACGCAGCTGCTTGAATTTTGCCTGGACCCAAGGAGGAGGATCTCCCCGTGTTTGGTTCGCTGCCGGCTGCGCGTCCACCGGCGGAGGAGGCAGGGCACACACATCCAAAGCAACTTAAGGTGCGTGTTCTAGTGAATCGGGTCGATATCCTCATGGATTACGCAGGAATTACATGGTGATATGAGATATGACATATTCTATATCATATTTTGTGTATGCTAATGTTACACATATAAATAGGCACGTACATATTTATATATATATATATATATATATATATACACACATGTAGGTGTAAATACAATATATGTATATACATATATACACATACACATACACACAAGCATAAATCATACCATACATACATATATATATATATATACTATATACACTATATACATACATAGTTTTTTTTAAAATTGCCGTATTTGTGTCACCCCTGTGGCGCAGCCTTTGCCCTCTTTCGGACCACGGAGCTCCCGGCCCTGGAGCCCCGGACGCGCCTACTCAGGCGCCTGCTGAGCTGTCTCTTGAGTTCGGGTTTGCTTAGGGGATCCTAGGGGTGTCGGGCTTTGGGGTGTAGGTTTTTTTTTTTGAAGTTGTGCAGGGTTTGGGTGCAGAGTTTCGAGCAGGTTTTGGGAGTGATTTTTGCCTTTCTGGTCGCACCTGCCCTTTGCCCCTTGCCCCTGCCCCCGCCCCCTAAATTTCCCCTGACCCCTCATGGCCCCTGCTTGCCCCACGCCTGCCCTTTGCCCCTGCCCTGCCCACACTGAGCTTGCGGTGGACTTATTGCCGGCAGGAAGCCTAGAAACTTTCAGAAAAAATGACTGGCCTCATGATCGAAAGCCGTAAAAGCCTGCCCCCCGGGCCAACAGACAACTTCGATGTAAGCATTTGCTTCAGGGGTTTTAGGGTCTGGGGTTCTGTCGACGTTAGGATTTTTAGGGGCTTTCGGTGAGGAATGCCGGTGTGGGTTGAGGGGTTTTCGGGCGTTTGGGGAGGTGGGGCTGGGAGGGGGGGGGGGGGGGTTTACGTAATGCAGAGATGCTCTGTACCCGGAGGCAGTCGGATGCAGCTGGACGAGGAGGGTCGACGGGGCTCCAGAGTGTCGCTGAGTGCAATGACTTGCAGCAACGAGCTCTGGATTTTCGACTTGCCGCCGTTCGCGTCGAGGATTCAGATGGCTCCCTGGCTCCGGACAGCGACGGCTTCCTTGACTTAGACCTCATCTGAACAGAGGGCAGTGGCTGTCCTGCGCACCGTTGCCAGGCTCTCTTCTCGACCCTTTAAGCATTTTGAAGCTAATGTCCGAGCTTCTTTCGTGGTGCAAGCACCATGAGGGATGTCACCGCACTTCGCCTGCGATTGGGTTCGACACTTGTTGCGACGTTTGCACAGAGTTGGTATGGAATGCGAATTCAGAGAGAATTTCAGTGTCAGGCGGAAATCGAAGCCGAATTGGCATGCCGTGTCACCCTAGTATCCACCTGGCGTAGGCTGCGTATTGGCATCTTCCCGTCAAAATACAATCGTGCCGATCTATCAAAGCAGCAGCGCGGACATCTGGCTTAGAGGACCTGCTTCTGCGCAGCTTGTAGCTTTCGCAGCCCAAATCCTGGACTGCAATCGCATTCGCCAGCGGAAAAAGTGCGGAGCCCTTCTTTGGATCGTTCTTCATCGGATGCTGTTGGCTACATGATGTGAATGCCGTGCTGCTCTTGTGCTGCTTCAAGCACGACTGGCGCAGGGGCGTATCGTCTGCTTAAACGGTGCTTGAGTGTGCTCTGCATCAGCCCTGGGCAGCCAAAGTTTGCCTGCAATGTGGGCTGAAGCATTTGGGAGTTTCCGAAGATTAGGGGTACCTTATTTGGGGTCCTTATAACAAGGATCCTACTATTTGGGGTGCTATATTAGGGTCCCCTATTTTCGGAAACCCCATTTCCTTGCAAATCTTCGGTTTGCGCTTGTACACGACGGCCGTGACTAAGTTTACACCAACTACATCAAGAGCTTCTCTCAGAACACTGCCTGGTTTGGCAAGGAGGTAGATGTGTTTCACAGGTGCATGAGCAAGCCATGTTCATCTGTTTCACCGAGTGCGCCAGCAAAGGCTGGAGTTAGCATGTGTAGCCGCGTCAAGCCAGTCTGAGCTTTGCCATGCCGTATGATGCAAACCACAGGCAGGCAGTCGTTCTCTTCCGCAACGCAGTGGCGCAGTTGTGCTGACACCTGTTGTGGCATCTCTTGGTCTCCTCGGCAGCTTTATACCAAAAGTTGTGTGATGTTGTTGTCTCTCACTCTTGCTCGCTACACCGCCCCTCAGTCTACAGGTGCGATGACGTGTGCAACGGGATAGGAACCGGAGCCTTGCATCTCAGGGAGTTCGCCATCAGGTGGCATCTCTAAAAGTTCTAGTCCATGCCACGGGGGAACGCTGTGGCAAAGCTCGCAAGTCTTTAAAGTTTGCCTGGCTTGGCCTGGATTTTCAATCAGCGATGTCCGCCTATCACTTCAATGCCGGCTATCACTGGCTCAAAGTCGCATCGCCACAAGAAGGTGCCGGATCGATGACGTTGATCCATGGCCTTTGAAGTCTTAATAATGCTAGGCTGACAATAATACCCGCACCAGACACATTAGTTTGAGAAGAGCAGTAATAGCTGTCATAATGGGTCATACTGATCTGATTTAGAAGTGTGCAGGTCAATCGGCATAGGCCTCGTAGACAGTGCTTGGAATCCCTCCCGTGCTCCGGAGGATTGAAGAATGCTCGGCAGGCAGCGCGCCACGCTTTGAAGCAAAACGGCAATCGCCACGCCTGCTTAGTCCACCGTATATAGTGTGCTCGATTAGTATTAGTATGTACGTATCTAGTTATATTATATGTGCGTATAGAAATTTGCCTGTGTATATATATATATATATCTTATGATGATCTTTTGTACTGGTTTTAGCTTTGGTTCAACATTGTCAGTATCCGGTGCAATGTGTTGGAACGCAGGGAAGGGCTCATCTTCATCTGCCTCGGCTTTCGTTCTGGCTCAGAGTGAAAAGAAAAGACAGATCTTCTGTGCGCAGCGCAAGCGCTCAGTGAAGGCGCGGCTAGGGTGGGTGTAGGGTGTACTTGAAGCATCATGGGACTTAGTAATTAGGGCTTAAGTACCTTATTGGGGTTATAAGCATAGTTAACCTTACTTATAACCCTAGTTACTAAGTTACTAAGTCCCATGATCCTTCAAGTCACCCCAAGAACCCTCTTGTAGAACCCTTGCATACCCCTATAGAGGAGCCCTTTAAGGAGCCCTAGTTACTAAGTCCCATGATCGTGCAAGTAGGGAGCTCTCTTTGGCGTCGATCAACGTTCGTCTGAGAGAGGTGTGACCATGGCAGCCGTGCCAATGGACTTGGAAGTGGCGAGGGACCCGGCCAGAACGACTCGCCACAATCCACCTATTTGTATATAAATGTTATATATATATATATATTATATTTCGCCAGATATGGTATTTCATCATATTATCATTATATACATATATATATATATATATATAGAATGCTTGCTGTCGACCAGACGATGCAACTGATGATGCACAGTCGCTGCACTGCCAAGGCCACACTGACTTTCAACTGGCTCTGGAAGCACGGGCATGGAAACTGTTTGTGTCCGTCTGCATTGGCTCTATGCTCAAGAAAGCCTGCAGCAGTGTCCGTAGAAGCTCTTCTTTGCGCCGCTTGTGGACCGCTGCCTGCACAGATGAAGAGTTCAGTTTCTTGCAGTCGGTGGGCTATGTGTCTGTTTGTTTGTCTCTTTGTCTCTCCGTTTGCGTGTCTTTCTGCCCGTCTCTCTGTCACTATCTCTGTCTCAACATCTCTTTGTCTGTCTGTCTGTCTTTCTCGCTCTCTCTCCGTCTTTCTCTTTGTCTCCTCCCTGTCTCTGCGTTTGTCTCGCTGCATCCCTATGTCTATCTGTCCGTTTACCCCTCTCTATCTCGCTCTCAGTCTGAGCTTGTCCGTCCGTTCGTGCGTCTCAGGCTGCAAGAATCGATGTAGGACAATGTAGGGGCCAAGTCTCAGGCCAGCTGTTGGAGCTATGGGTGCCTTCTGCGCCAAGCCAGAGATCGATACCATTTATGAAACAGACACTGGCGATGCTTGGCCTGCATGACACTGCCGATTGTAGCATGCTCAGCCATCGAAGACCTGCGAGCTTGCTAGGTCATATAGCGGTCGAAATAATTACCAATACTGTTTTGGAGGTTCCGCAATGGGTCCCAAAACCCTATTTTAATTATTAAGGCCCCTATATTATTGCGTTTTGCAGCCGAGGCAGCTCCCTACCGCAGCAACTTTCAAGACAACATCATGCTGCTCGGACAAGAGCGGGCGCAGATTTAAGCACTCGGATCTGCCACCGACCTCACCTTGGATTATGCTCCGCTCACTAGTTGTACTCAAAGATACGGTTTGGGGTATAGGGTCTAGCGTAATATCATGGCAGAAGCCGAAGAAGCTGCAGAACTCCGTGCAATCCTGCTTGTGAGATGCTTCACGTGCAAGGCTTCTCAGCGACTCCTACAAGACCTCCCACTGGCGCCAGTACCCTCCAGGCACCACGGAGGTCTACTCGTCCCGCGGCTGCATTGCTTTCGTCTTCAACTTGTCCTGCAAGGCTTTCCGGTTGAAGTAACCAAGTAGATTTCAACTTTGCCTATGGGGGGACAGCCGATAGAAAACCCTGCCATGCTGACTGTCCCGCTTTCTGCGCCTGCTGCAGCTGCTGCAGCTTCTGCTGCTTCTGCCGCCTCTTGTGACGGCTGTAGTGGTTGGTGCTGCGGCAGATGTGGACATGATCTGTTGATGATCGTTCGGCTTGTTCCCAATACTGCCGGTTGCTTCTTTTCTGCCAGTACTACCCCTTTGCTGCTGCTGTGTTCTTGTCGCTTGTGGTGGCGACGTTTAAACGGGCGGCGTGGAAAGCAGGCTTGAATGGAGCTGCTTTTCCAGGTTTGAGGGCCATGATTCACGTAGGAAGGCGCAGGTTTGTCCTGTTGAGCCTTGATTGAGCCGCTGTTGCTTTGGGGAGAGCAAGGACGGTAATAACGTCAAACGGCTGCTGGGTGTGGCCAGCGAGGGGCTGCTAGGGCTCCTCAACATAAAACCATTTCTAGAATCTACACCCACGCCCCACCAAAACAAGCCGATTCTAATTATCAGGGGCCCTGTGTTAGTGGGGACGTAGAAAAGCTTCGGCTTCGAAGATGGCTTCGCAAGGTACTTTGAGTCCCGCGGCGGGAAGTATGACGAGGTGGTGTTCTTCGGGCTGCAGTACTTCCTCAAGCGATACCTGCAGGGCAAGGCATCGCATGGATGTAAACCTTCGTGAACAGGGTCTGGGTCGGTCCTGGGGGATGGGCAGCACTTGGAGGATCATGGGACTTAGTAAGTAAGGTTATAAGTACCTTATTCGGGGTTATAAGTATAGTTAACCTTAACTGCCTTAACTGTAACCCTAGTTACTAAGTCCCATGAACCTTTAAGTCACCCTAAGAACCCTCTTGTAGAACCCGTATAGATCCCTGTTAAGGAGCCCTTTAATGAACCCTAGTTACTAAGTCCCATGATCCTTTAAGCAACCTTCGTGCAGGTTGTCACTCGCGAGCGGATCGAGGCGGCAGAGAAGGTCGTGAATGCCCACATGGGCCTTGGCGAGATGAAGCACTTCAACCGTGCCCTGTCCGCAGGAGGCACCTTTAGCCCCGAGACAACTATGCCCTAAACCCCTAAACTCCTAAACCATCAACCCCGAAACCCCTAAACTCCTAAACCCTCAACCCCGAAACCCCTAAAGCCCTAAACCCTTCTAAACCCCCAACCCTGAAAGCCCCTGGTGCCAAGGCGAGGGCTGGGAATACATTCTGAATCAGCATGATGGTAAGCTCCCAATTGTCATCAAGGCCGGGGCTTCCTTAAGGCCGGCTGCTTGCAGGATCATGAGGCTTCGTAAGTAAGGTTCCTTCAAGGGCTCCTAAGGGATCTGTAGGGTTCCTTACAGGGATCTGCAAGAATCTACAAGGTTTAGGGTTTAGGGTGTACTTGGGAGGATCATGGGACTTATTTAAGTACCTGAATTGGGGTTTTTGATTTGACGTATAGTTGCCGTACCTATAACCCTAGTTACTAAGTCCCATGATCCTTTAAGTGCGGCTGAGTTTCGCATCATGCCCCTGAACCCCAAACCCCAAACCCCAAACCCTAAACCCCAAACCCTAAACCCTGAACCCTAAATGCCCTTTTTGGAGGCCGCACCCGAGGGGATGGTGGTCCCTGTGAAGAACGTGCTGATGACTGCGCCTTGGCCTTGCCACCGCACTCCTCCCATAAAGCAGGGGCCTCGGTAATTACGAAGGCGATATTGGGGGTTCCTTATTATGATTCTGGTGTAATATACCCCAAAGCCCTACTATTCCAATTGTTGAGGCCCCTATATATTACTTCGGAATCTATCTGAGTCCGGTAACCGGCGCTGCCCGCAACTCCGTCAGGCAGCCTGACCGAGCGGACCCGAGAATTCTGTCCCTCTACATCAGCTACAGTTATTCCGTTATACCTCTACCTAGAATTTTGGGTTCGGGTAGCTCCCTCCCTAAACTCTGGTTTGATTAATTCGCCGTCGCTGTGGGACTGGACTGGTGGGTGGCTTGTAGTCAGCGGAACTGAAACGGCTTAAGTGCGGAGATCATAGTTGGCTACTTAAAGGATCATGGGACTTAGTAACTGGGGTTAATATTAGGGTAACTGTACTTATAACTACCTATAACCCCAATTAAGGTACTTACAACCTGACTTACTAAGTCCCATGATCCTCAAGTAGGTGGGAGAAGACGTACAGTGCCGCCGCGAAGAGAGTCTCACAGGGAATGATCAGCATGGAACGATTCCCATGTCTTACCATGTCACTCATCAAGCTTTCGTTCGAAACTGGAGGCTTCTGTGGTCGGACCGACGCGAAATCTTGCTGGAAGTCTAGCTTGCAAGCCCATCTTGACACACTACGCATCGCAAGACAAATTCAGAGTAGTTCGACGAGGGCTACTGTGCTGGTGTTGGTGCTGCAGTTGCTGCGACCTCGACGATGCCAACTACTCCTAGCCATGGATCTGGTTGGAACCGTCTTAAAACATCGTCACACCTGGATCCATTACAATAAGTACAGGGAAATCCCTCATCTTGGCGAAGGCACCAAAGCTCCGACATGCGTGGGGGTCCGGTGAATTAGCCATAAAGTGCTAATGCGCCTGAGAGAGTTTGTCTCTTCAACCAAGGTCGTGAACACTGATCCAAAGTGTGCCCTTGATAAAGCAGATTCGGCTTTGAAACTTGCGGTCAGTTCCCGTGTGCACTACTTAAAGGATCATGGGACTTAGTAACTAGGGTTATAATTCGAGTAACTATACAGAGTAACTATACGTATAGCTACTTATAGCCGCAATTCAGGTACATATAACCTTACTTACTAAGTCCCACGATCCTTCAAGTAGGCTGCGCTGTACAGTCCGGGTTGCTTCACCGAGGCTTTTGGTTGACCAACTACCTGGAGACATTGCTGGTCCAGGTTTGGTATCCGATGACGGTGGCAACGCAGTCCCGTGCGCAGAAGAAAGCACCCTGCTTGCAGACCATTCTGATGATCTAGGAAGAACGGGAGGATGGCGGGGCTGTTTTGTACAATGCATGCCCTATGCCCCACAACTCCTTGGTAGGAAGCTGGCATTGAGCGAAATGACCAACTTGTCTGAGCAGTCATCCGTTCTGCAAGGCGAAGGCAATTGTTGGATTCAGAGTGAGGGCCGCAACTAGCATCCAGCCCCGCCTCTCATCAACAGCGGAATACATAATATGTGTTCTATGAGAAAATCATCTTACAAGTGTGTAGCATAGTCTATTCTATATCCCAACTATAGGCATGTCATAAAGTAGATTAGGGAGCGCTTGCAGACTCCAGGTCATTATGGACTCTCTCATCAAGACCGGTTCCTTCCCAGCAGCCGAAGAGACAAATTCTCCCTGTCCCTGAGGGATCTGTGAGAGCTGAGGCACGGACCTGCCCAACATGCCGAACAAGCTCCCTGCGCCCTTGAAGATGATCACCGTGGGCTACCAGCTCAATGACTTCGGCTGCCGAGGCGACGACGGATGGATGGATCGGATGTGCGAAGTCTCTTCATATGGGAGTTTCCGAACATTAGGGGTACCTCGTATTGGGGTCCATATAATAAGGATCCTACTATAATCAATTTAGGGTACTCTATTACGGTCCCCTATTTTCAGAAACCCCCAAACCTCAGCAGACTGATGGGATGAGCCGTCCTGCCTAAGGCGTTTCTTCCATGGAGACGGCAGGGATCGGAGGAGC